CCCCGGGCTTGCTCTTCTCAGTATCCGAAACATTCTTGTCAAAGTATTTTTTGGCATTCCTTCAAGGCAAGACTGGCTCTAACCTGTTTATTTTTTCGAAGATGAGTGTCAGGATTAGCCGAGCATCCTGATCTTCATCTCTGCAGCCGTGGCTCGGGCGCACCTGTTCGGGAACGACTGTGGGTTCTGGGGCCGGGTGGATTCAAGGTGTTCGGAGAGACGTTTTCGATAAGATTGAAATGCCGCCCAGCGGCACAAGTGTTGCTTCCTTGATGCGCTTCTCCGTCTGAGCATGGAACCTGAGGAGTTTAAGGACTTCATATTCGGGCTTATGTTAGATTTGTCCCCTCAAATCGTCAAACCTGAGAATCAAGATTGAAACCTGCAACCATAAACTTAAATTGAGCTAGGAAACTCGGGGGTTGGTTCAGATGCATCGCACTGGGCATAGGCCACATTGAGGTCATCGTAGTGCTTCTCGATCTCCATAATAGAAGACTCCAAAGTCTTCACAGACCTTAGTGGGGTTGGCTGGGATACAGGTTCTTACTTGGTCAACGGTTTTTTCTGGCACATTGAGCAGAGAAGCTTCTTGCAATCGTCATCTTGTGCGTACTTCTTTGAGAGGTCACGTACCAGGCTTCGTAGTTTACCACACTTGTCCATAGTCGATTCCAGCATCTTGTGCAAGGTGCTCTTCAACTGGGACAGGGATGATGTACTTCAGATGGTGTTGAATACAACTATACGACTGTAAGGATATATGTACCTGTCTGGGGGCGCGTTATCTTTATGTAGGTGGTAGGATGCACATGCCTGGTTGTTCTGGTGTTGCTTCGGGTCGATCTGTATGGCTGCCGTAGGCTTCTGTGCACGGCTCTGGTAGTCCTCCAACATTTTCTGGTCCGTGAGGCATCCGGGCACCGCGGGCATTTGCTCGACCTGTGCTTGGGGCAGCAAAAGGTTTAGGGGTTGTAGGGTTTAGAGGTTTTAGGGTTTCGGATTTGAGAAAATGGGAATTGGAGCAGGCCTTGCTTTCCTGCTTGTGCTCCTTCTCATGGCTGTGTTCCTGGGCCCTGACACCTGTCTCCCGCACCACGACCCAGTACTCCATCAGGCCGTCGTATCGGTTCTTCCTGTTGGCTATACATGATTGAGAAGTTTGCTATCGCGGCTAAGGAATCAAGGTAAAGGGTCTTTGGGAACGGAGGACTTCGGAAAACCCAAATAAACCTTGGAATCGTTTATCATATTGGATACAATCACATTGACTTAAGAGAAACAAACAGAAATCTCGATAACACCCCACCTGTAGAAGTTTGGCCCTGCGTCCAAACAAGTCTGGACTGCACCCTTGCGCTTCTTCCTTGGTTGCTGTTTTGCATGGGAGAGCGAATACAAAAATCATGATTAGGAGGTTTGCGCTATCTCATTCTGAGGGTCTCCGGCCAATGGAGGTCGTCCTCCATCTCTTGCTCACTGTACCAGCCCTCCTCAACCTTAAGCTTAATGGAAGTCTTGGTACGAACGACGACCTCCAAGCGGACCAAGAACTTGTCCTGCCAACGGAAAACATACTTGAGGACTTCACCTTTCGGGGGTGGGGTGTTCGAGATTTCGGGCTTATCTCCTGAACCCTTAAAGGCTTGGGCTTGCGTGTCGGCAGAAGGTTTAGATGATGAAAAGGTTCCTATAAAGCTTCCTTAGGGTATCTTAGGGTCGAAATCCTCAGGGGTGATAAGTGTTTCTTGTGGCGGGTTGTTCTTCCTATAGGCTGCTACGTTGGGTAGTTCGGTTAATATTAATCAAGGAAAAGGTATCCGGGGGCTTGAGTTTTGGATTGAGGTTTTTTTCGATCGCCTTGTCGAAGTTTTGCTCCTGGAGAACGGAGGCTATCTTCGTCTTGTCCCCGGTCGTCCATTCGTCTCGTACCCATTGTGGCACTTCAAGGTCATGGCGGCGGGATTTTGGTTTGCACATTCGGTCTATGCGGGCCTTCGCGGCCCGAATCAGCTTCTCCTTAGTGGAGTCAATCTCTGTTGCGAGAAGATCTATATGCGATCGTGTTTGCAGGATCATAAACGTATATATTTACAGATGTAGCACCTGCCGCGTTGGCTCTTTTCGCGTCTTGACCCCGGACCCATCACCAAGATCCACTGCACGATTTTTCGGAGGGGGGGTTACCAGTTCCTCATCGTCACTGGTCGCCTCATTCTTGATACCGGGGAAGACTTTGCCCAAAGAGTCCCGCAGCATCCGATGCAGCAATTGATCTGCCTCGGCTTCCTGGGCTTCAGTTCGGGCTGTGGGTTTTCTTGAGTGGACGGGCAAGTATAGTCGACTTTGCATACCGAAGGGCAATTTGCTCTGCATCATCGGAACGATCATCCTTATCCGAGTCGGGACGAGAGAGAGAGAGAGAGAGAGAGAGAGAGAGAGACAGAGAGACAGAGAGACAGAGAGACAGAGAGACAGAGAGAGCGAGAGAGAGAAAGAGATAGAGAGAGAGAGAGAGAGAGAAAACGAGAGAGACAGAGAGAAAGACAGAGCGAGAGAGAGAAACGACAGCAATTGGCATCCCCTTGAGTTGCCATAAACCACAAAGGCAAACATCATCTTGCAACGAGCGGCTTCTTCATCAGCCGAACTGATCACCCCATAATCATCATGTGCCACGGATTCCGGTGGCTCCTGTCCCAAGCCTGCTAGCTGTAGGTCAACAGCCGAAGCCTCAGATGTAAAGAAGAAACCCCATGAGTCTTATATGCACACTGCGCATGAACTCAGGACTTCACTGGAAGGGTTTCGGCTTCCATCAACGGTTCTGGAACCTTTGGCTCCTGAGCCGGCGGTACCATCTCATCGGGCTGGTCCATCGTCGCAGCCGAGTCGACAGGAGCAGAGACGGGCTCCATCACTTCCTGCCCAGTATAGGAATATATATGGAATAATGGATGAAACCTTGATTGCTCCCGAACAATCTCAGACCCGACCTGCTCTGATTCTCCAGCGTCTTCAGCAAGCAATTTTTCCAGCTCCTGCTACAGGTTTGTTATATACAGGGTTTACAAGATGTACTTATGGGTTTCAGGGCTTCTATATTTGCATACGGGGGAGGCAAGAGAGAGGTCCCCTAAACGGTGTTCCCACGTCTGTCCTCAAGTTCCTGCTGGCATGCACCAGCATCGAGAAGCTCCGAAGAATTGGACACATGGTCTAGCCCTTCGAATAGCGTTGCGCACGACCACAACTTCGAAACAGACGCAGGAACTGCCATGGCGATTGCCCGGCAAAAGCAAGGTAAAACACCGAAGAACTTGAGAGTTCATATGAAGAAACATATCAGCTGAGCAGCAGGTGTAAGTGCAGCATGACACAACACGTGTCCCGCAACACAAATCAGAACTTTCTTCTTTCCGATAGCACGCGACGCCAATAACAGCCCCTGGCTGCGGGACAAACCACAGACCTTTGAAATTAATTGCTGCGCAGAACCCTTCAAAAAGAGTTCGCAACGGCTCTAAAACGCTCTAGGTAAGACCCCGGGTTAACCCATGACCGCGTCATGGGTAAATCATGGGTCTGCCATGGGTAAATCACGGGTCCGTCACGCTTTGGGGTCAACCCGGGGTTCCACAGAAACCCGGGGTTTAGGGTGGTAGCATCACGGGTTGTCAGGGAGTAAACCCCGGGTTACCAGCGGGAAATCACGGGTAGGTCACGGGTAAACCCGGGTTCTTACTACCCTCCCTGGTCCAGACTCTTGCCAGGATAGGCCGAAACCGCTAAAAGCGCTAAAAAGCACCCACAATTGCTATTATTTAATTACAGTACCAATCCTTGGAAACCAGAGCCCGCGCAAGCAACAGGCAAAAGCCCCGAACCCGCATCAGTCTTCGAAAACCAGTGCGCGCATAAGCCCCACAGAGCCCGCATAAGACCCAAACCCGCACAAAGCTGTAATCATAAGGCCGCAGTAGCAATTGAAAGCAACTCCATTCCGAAAGCCAGCAAAGGAAGAGTTACAGTCGCGACAAGAACGATTATTTGCACAAGCGGGCTTATAGGGTTTCTGTGATATATAAGGGTCGGGCCTCCATAGCAAAACGCTGTCATCCCGAAACCTATAAGGTCAGAATCTGGAACCCTTAAGAAGATAATTCTATCTGTGTTTTTTCGACCTAAGGCAAATCGAGTCTCCGTGGAATAAAAGGTCGCCACAGTTCAGGAATCGTGAGACTTTTGCATCCCCGCAAGTATACAAAAACGGACGGAAGATCAGCTGTAGAGAATTCCCCACAGATACTTTCACCCCCGGCCATCCAAAACACTGTCTGCTGCCCTGGACTCACATCTCCCTCTGACACAGGACAGCCACGGCGATGCATCTTCAACTGCTCGGAGAGGCGCTCCATCTCGCGGGCAAAGGCGACGGGGTAGACCCTGGGATGGCAAAATTGGGAGTGTTACAGGCGGGTCTACTGGATTTAAGGGTTTAAGCTTTAGGGTTTTTAGGGCTTGTAACACTAACTGTATATATATTCGCATCGATCATTTTCTATTTACGTTTTCGTTGTTCAGTTTAACTTATATACTAATTATGCTACATCTCCCTTAACCCACTACACACAGAATTGCAACTATATATATATAGACCCCTTTAAGGAACCCTATATATAGACCCCTTTAAGGAACCCTATATATATATAAGGTCACGAGGTTATATAGGAGATGGTCACATAACCTTTCTGGGTAATCTTTGGACTGTCGGGGTTCGCTACTTCAAACTTGAATATATCATGTTTATTGTCAAAGGCAAGGAGCTGGGTCTGTCGGAGGTTCTTGTTGCCCCAGTACCTGACCCGGCCTTTCTGGTCCCTAGCCCTCTCGACGGTTTTAGTGGTACACATACCCTTGCGCATGGCCCACTTCAAGCGCCCTCGGTCCAGCAAGTAGGCCACTGTCGTGTTGGAGACAAGATAATGTCTCTTTGGAGTTTTGGACCCATAGTTGCCCATCCAGAAGCGGACAGTGGAAACCTTGGACTTATAGTCTTATCTATTTGGCAGAGGAAATAGCAGGATATACAGGACGTGCGACCCCGAAGCGGACCAAGTCCCAGTAAGCCCAACACTGCGTAGGGGCCGCCGACACCCCGAATAGCCAACATTAGAGACCGCCAGCATGGGTAGTATTCAAGGAAGCTACCAGCCGGTTGCTCCAATGTCCAACAGGCATCCATCGCGGTGCACAGCATCACCAGGAGAGTTGTCCTGACACACGCATCGCTTTGGGGCTTATAAGGATGGGAAACACATTCCTGCTGAGATATTGCAACACCAGTCCTCTCTAGCAGCTTGTTCGCATAAGCTACACTTTCATGCCCTGTGTAACCAATGGAGTTGCATGCCGAGCGTTTGGACGTTCCCATGTTCAGCACACAGAACGAGCTGCATTTGATGCCGAAGTGAACCAATGCCTTGTAGCATTTCAAGATAGAAAGGATTGCCAGCCTGGGCCGACCAGGAATGTCAATACGATTGCGGTTGTAAACAAATACTCAGTGCGCACGATAAACGAACTAAGCTAGAAGCGCAAAGCCAGCGTCAGTTTGCAGGTCCATAAAATTGGTGCCGGGTCGTTGTTCAGCATCCATAATATCGAAACGAACAGATCTGTGTCCAGCCGCTCTCATGACACGATGGATATTGCCAGCTCCAGCAAAGAACTCCACATAGGAATATTCCTATAGTGCGACCCAAAAAGTAAGATCCACCAACTTTCACCCAGTACTCTAAGACCCCAATGCAAACTAAGAACGATCCTCTCCGAGTCGACGTTGACCCCTGTGTTAAGCCTTCCACCCCAAAACCTAGCCCAGAATCCGGTACCAGGAGGTTCTGATCCACGGACCACACGGCGAGGAGGCAGATCAGCACGAATGCCTGGTCAGGTTTGCAGGATGTTCTGAGTTTTCCGAAGTGTTGGCACAGGATCTCGTGGGGTCCTTATCTGATTGCATATCGAGCCTGCCTTCGGAGCTCCCAAGACTTTCAATCTCCAGCACAAAGTGTCCACATCAAGCATAGCTGCCGAGGCTGTGTGTAAGGCAGTGCAGATGCTTTTTGACAGAGCATGAACTGAGCTATTTATACATTCCTGTCCACAACAAATCTGCAGCGACCTCTGCAAACGGCTTCGATGAGTTGAGCAGCGCTGAATCACAAATGAACACACGATTCCCATACCCTGCACGTGTCAGCAGAACTCCACCAACGAAACATGCAGGCTCGTCGACTCTGCAGCCTCCGAACATGCCTCGCATGCCACTGGTATCCTTTCGGAAGAAGAGGCATCGCTGGTCGGGCCTGGGCAAGAACAGATGTTAGGGGTGTATATTAGGTTTAAGGTTCCGGTGTAATTTCGAGGATCGGTTTTGGGTTCGGCAGGCTCTTTCAAACAAAAGCAAGCGGTTCCGGGCTTCTGATTCCGTGTCCCCTCTCCTGTGTTAGTTTGGTGAAGAACATTCTTTGGGCCGGCAATACCTTAAAAGTTATAAGATTTGTGGAGCATACACAGGTTGAGGGTTTAGGGTTTATAGGGTTTATGTAGATTTTATCTTAGTGCACGACGGACCTGTTCACACTAACGCTCTTGTACCCTGGCACCGCTTGGGCTTTGTAGAGTTTAGGCCCCTCTTGGGTTTAGTGGGTTAAAGTCTCACACAAACTGTATATGTTGTATATACGTCTCAGGGTTTGTATTTTTTGTGCGAGCACTACATATACCCAAAGTCAAAGAACAAACTGACTCGAAACCCTTCGGCCCCGTTGTACCCTGATCCTACAACCCCCGTTGGACACCACTACAAAACCCAAATCCCAAATATATATATGCCAGCCCGAACCCCACAAACATCTGATGTCATTTGCGCCGATGAGCTGCGATTGTCCTTCAATCTCAGGTTACCGAGATCGTCTGCCAAGCCAGAGCCGGCCACTTCAGAAATGAACCCAGGTTGCAACCCCGAGACTTTCGTAGCTCGATCTGTTTTAAAGGCAGGAGTTGCTTCCTGGGGTGACGAGGTTTTGTCGGGAACATGCCCGTCTTGCGCTGTGACATATATAACACTGATCGAAGTAGCAGGGGTCTGGCAAGGATTGGAACATATTGGAACATTGTGTGTATAAGTACTGTATAAGCCACATAGCCTACGGAGTTTATGTTAGTTCTTGTAACCAGCACAATTCAAGAACAGGCCAAAACACCTACCTTGATCTCAGCAAAATGCGTGTTGCACCGGTCTAAAGCATCGGTGTGCCTACGATCGTAAACCCTGCACAAGCATCTCAGCCTGTGAACCCCACGATCAAATCTATACACACATCCGCTCGGCGGCGCGCCTAAGAGATCACAAGCGAGCAAAATCGATTACTCTGCCCGGGAAAGCGTCCGCAGCGCTTCAAGCAGCTGCTCCTTGATCACCGTGATGAATGAATCGGCCTCGACAGACTTTGTCACGATCCATTGGTTCGTGATGCCATCGGCGATCAAGCCATCCACAACGATGCTCACAAGCTCACCGGCTTTCATTGTCATAGCCATCTTGGCTGTCCATGCCGCATGTTTCGGCCCACCGGCAACACTGAGGTTCACAAGCTCCTTCTTGGACTCTTTCAAAAGGACGCCAGTGGAACACCTGGTCCAGTAATGCGTCAAGCTGCAAGCATCAGACTGCGCAAGCTCAGCTTTCATCCGAAGCTTCAGCGAATGGGATTGCTCCTCGCCACTGAACTTCTCGGCAAACTCGACCATGGCTGTATGGAGCTCCTCCACTGTGTCCATCGAAAGGTACTTCACAACGGCGTCATCGACAGAGATGCGGGCATACTCATCGTCGTCCAGCTCCATAGCACGCCTCGCGCGAGGCCCGGACTTGGCCTTGGCCTTGGCTTTGCTTTTCGCCTTTGGCGAAGCCGTAGCCTTCGCCTTTGCTTTCGCCTTTGCTGTGGCCTTTGCTTTGGCCTTCGCCTTCGGCCCAGCCTTGCGCTTTGGAGCCGCCTCGCGCTCCGACTCCGCTTCAGGAGCCGTGTCGCACGGCTCCTCCTCCTCCTCCTCCTGGTCCACCGGATCCGGGAACTTGGCCACCTCATACTCAAAGGCGCCAGTAGTGCTCTCCTCTGGCACTGGCCACATCTTCATCATCCGGCGCTTGCGCTTCGAAGGTGACACCATGACGCTCGGCTTACGTTTCAAGCCCTTCTTCCCACCTTTTTTCTTCATATTCTTACCCTTCTTCTTGCCCTTGGTCCTTGTGATGCCCTCCTCAACCTCCGGCGCCTCGTCATCGGGGATCTTGGATTCCGCTTCTGCCTCGTCGCATGTCACCTTGGCGGACTTGCCACCACCTTTGCCGCCACCTTTGCCTTTAGACTTCCTCTTCCTCTTCACACCGAGCTGGTCGCGCTTAGTGACCACAGGAAGTTGCCCCGCCTAGCCAAAGTTCGTGCATCAGCAAAGACCCGAAGCCTTATTAGACCCGAATTCGTGAACCCAATGAAAGGAAATTTTTGTACACCTTCAAGCCTCCTCGGAATCCGTGAACTCCTGCTGAGGATGATCGGTGGCAGCTGGCGGTTCTGCTGGCTCTGGAACGACGGCGGCTGCTGGTTCTGCTGGCTCTGGAACGACGGCGGCTGCTGCTTCTGCTGGCTCTGGAACGACGGTGGCTGCCGGTTCTGCTGGCTTTGGAACGATGGCGGCTGCTGGCTCTTCGTTCGCAAGGATTGCAGGATTTTCACCGGCTCCAGGGAATGCAATGTCCAGGATGTTACACGGCTGGGTCTCGTCCGAAGCGCCACCAAACGAAGTAAATGGGGACTCTGAATGCACGGGGCTTTCTCCTCCTCCTGCATATATGGCTTCAGATTTGAAAGATTCGCTATATAATAGTCCAAAAGAGTTTTATGTAGTCTTTTGATTCCGATTAGCATATTGATAGCAGAGAAAACTTTTGAATGATCGATCCCATAGGGATGGGGGGCTAAGTCAAATAAGCTTGAAACTTCAAGTTCTCAACAGAAGGTCCTGGCAAAGTCGAGGTTGTCCCGGCAGTGGATGTAGTCCTGGGCGCAATAAAATAAAAGGATTCAATGGAGAGGGCTCCCAACCAATATAGGTGAAAAATGCGGGTAAGAGTCGTTTGAAGCTTGGCTTTGAGGGCTGCAATCCTCGCTTGCAGTGCAGAGCGCTGTTCCAGTGACAAACGGCCTGGTCGGAATCAGGCGGCTCGAGTTTTTCTACGGTCAAGAGTTGGTTACATACAGGCTTAAGGAAGCAAGCTGATTCGATGAGGTTCCCAAGCCTGATGGACGACGTTGCAGTGCGCCGGCATTGGCAGCAGTCTTCGGCAGGACAGGCTCGAGATCCTGTTGAAAGATCAGGGGTTCGTGAGAATCAGATTAATTGAGAACCAGATCAATGGCTGCAGGTTTATTGATTCCATATACAGATCATCGTGCAAACCCTTCCAGACTTGCTGTATGTGATGCAAATATTTGTATATACACACTTGCACAGCGAATGAACCGGGCCTTCGGCTCCAAAGCAGATTGTCGAATCAAAGCTGGCTTGGGAGTTTCCGGCTTTGGGGGCATCACAGCTTCTGTATCTGGCTTGGGAGCTTCGGGCTTTGGCATCGCAGCTCCCGGGCACTTGGGAGTGTTGGGCTCTGGCATCGCAGCTTCTCGGGGCTTGGGAGTTTCCGGCCTTGGCCTAGCAGCTTCGGTGGGCTTGCGAGTTTCCGCCTTTGGCGGCTCTGGCATTGCAGCTGTTGTCTCTCGCATGGGAGCTGGCTCGGAAGTTTTGGGCTTTGGCGTTGGCTCCGAAGCTTCTGTTGCCCTGGTTTCCTTTGGCTTGGGGGGCTCGATGGTTTCCGCTTTCGGGTCCGGGGTCTCGGTCTCGTCTTTATCCTCGCTGTCGTCATTGTCGTCGTAGTCATCCTCATCGGACTCCTGCCAATCGCAATCACTCAAGCTTGCCAGTGAAAGAGCCGGCTAGAAATATGTACAAACAAACGAGTTCTCTTGTTCATCAACCATCGAAGCCTTCAAACGACTAAGCCGAGCCTCCTCAGCATCATCCGATTTGGAAGCTGACATACAAGCCAAGCGCTTGGCGTTGTAGCTGTCCACCAGCTCCTGTGCCCGGATCGGGTATCATATAGATCGTTTATTGTATCTCCCAGTTAATACCTTATATACTTTAAAGGCTGACCCCAAGACCCCTATATATATTTCGGAACAAGAAAACATATGGCCTGCAAATCTGGATCCATAGCCAAGCAAAGCTCTTGGAAGCGCGTGTCCTGGGAGGTAGACTCAGACAGGAGACTTTAGCCAGGGTTTAGGGTTTATGTTAGATCGATATATATGTCGATCGGTTTGTTAAATTTTGAGCAGGGTCCACTGGGGTACAATGGCTACTGAATTGTCGATGCCGAAATGCTGCAGAAACTTCTTTGCGACGCACTTTGGCCTTGATGTGCGACATCAACTTGCGGATGTGGAAGCTATCCATGCTAACAGTCTCCTGAATTTCAGGACCAATTCTCTTGTTCATCCTCAGCAGGATTGTCTCTTCATGTCGGAGGTCGTATACCGAAGGAAGTTTCCTGTCCTGCTGCTGCATAGCGATGCAAAGAGGTAGTAGCAAGGAGTAGTTCTTCACACAAGCGTTGTTATCGCAATAAAGCCCTGTCTCCGGGGCCAAGACAGGGCCCCCCTCACGTAATCTGTTGCGGATCGCATCGCAACCGTCCCAGCTCACGTGCATGTCTCTGATATTCAGACCGGGCTCATAAGCTTCACCAGCAAACTCTGCCTTCTGCCCCTTTTTATTCCTTTTCCCAACCTTCCCCATTGCCACGTGACCCTACAATCACCGGGCTTGAACAGAAATCCTACACCGGGTTGGTTCAATCACACACAAAGCTCTGAGCTGTTGCTGTCATCTCTTTCTGGCAGGACAAATGCTGAGCTGCGGACCGCGTTGCGAGTCAGAGAGAAACATTCGCATGGCCGGCAGGTGTTTGGCCCTTTAACATCCTATACATCCTGTATTTCGATTGCCATTATGTGCTCTAAAGAAGCCATACTGTATAGCAAAGAGCCCCCGAAGGCAGGTCTCTCTTTACACCGCAAGCTCGGCACCCATTAACACATGAATTGTGGAACATCACGACTGATTGACTGATGGCTCGGCCTGGGCGATCCTGGGAGCTTTCGGCAGGAGTTGGATTGTTGGGATTCGGAGTCAAACTACTTGGGACAATTGAGAATGCCTAGCTTTAATCTATCCTTAATCCTTAATGTGATAAACCCGGGGTTCTACCCGAAGAACACGGGGTCGATCTTGATACATAGAATATACATCGGTTGTTAGAAATGAACCGACTTATTCTTCGGGTCTCGAGGGTTAAGGTATGTGTATGTATGTATGTATGTATGTATATATGTATATATATATATATATAATTTTTATATGTATATGTACGTGTACGTTTACAGACATGCACACACATCTACATAGATATAGGTATAAAAACGCATATGCGCATTTGCATATGTATGTGTGTATATGTATACGTACATGTGCATGTACATGTATATGTATGTGTATGTTTGTGTATATGTGCGTGTATGAGTGTACTATGTGTAGGACAGCGTAGGAGTCAATGCAGCCATTCATAGTAGATGCCTCGACACCCGCAGGAGGCCTCCCATAAGCTCCGAATAGGTCTTGAAGAGACCCTCGAGGGTTCAGAATTTAGTTCCGCGATGGCATTGCGAAGCTTACTTTGATGCGCAGAAGGTCATTTCGGGATGAACGAGAGTTGTGCTTAACAACCATATAGGGGAAAGACGTCTGAGCGGATCAGGACCTGGATGAAGAGTGTCTTTGGGAAGTGAAATGCACTGTGGCCAGTGGTAAACATCATACGAGCTGAGTATACGAGCTGCTTGTTCTAATGGTAATGAGGAGAAGAAGTAGAAGGAATGAAGCTAGCAATGGTGGTATGGGCAAAGCCGCCATGACCGAAACAAGTCATAGCAAATCCAGATCATGGGCATGAAATGCCTTTTGCAGAGCGCTGAACCCTGCAACCCGCCGGCAGAGTGCTTGTGAAGGCCCTGCAACCCAATTTCGGCCTTAATGCTTTCGAAAAAGGTTCTGGGGCGCTATAGAGCATTTAGGGTAGGGAACTCGACCGACAACAAGGGGCGGTCAGTTCAGGTGTTGTTTCTTCGCAGCTTTCAGTGCTGATCTACGAAGCACCGCTATAGACACTCGTACGAAGGAGCGCCATAGATGCGACCCAGTTTAAGAAAGTACCCGCAGCACGATTAGAAAGTTAGTTTGCAGGTTCGTTCATTTTTTGGGCTGCTCGTTGGGAGCTCTGCGGCCTGGAAGCACGCTGTTTCAGCAACCGATTCCCTCGCGACAGATGCAACTTTCACGATCGCACTTGACTCCGGAATCCGAATCCTTAAATGCAAAACCAAAACCCAAAATCCGAAACCCCATCCTGAACCATGCAAGCCGGGAGCACCAGCAAAAAGCCAAAGCCGAATACATCGCGATATACCCGACGCCCTAGAATATAATGAATCCCTAAACCTAAACCCCCCAGACCTTCCAAAATCCCTTAGTTAAGGAATATACCTTAAATTATAATAGGATCCCAAATATGAACTAAGGTATATTCCTTAATTAAGGGATTTTGGAAGGTCTGGGCCCTAACCCCCTAAAACCCGACCCCTAGCACTAAATCCGAGCCGCCAAGGTTCCCGCTGGCGAGGCTCTCTGTGGATAATACAGGGGCCTAGGGTTTAGGGTTTAGGGGTTTAGGGGTTTAGGGTTTAGGGTTTATAGTACCCAGAATAGGGTTCTGGGATTGTAGCAAGGAGCCCTCCAAGATAGTTTTGGTAGTTAGTCTGAGCCCTGGATTACGAGTCTTTTGGGTTTCGCCGCTAATGGATTTCGGTCTGGGTGTTAGGACGTGGGTTTTTGGAAGTCGACCTGGTTGCGAAAATCACATGAAGATACAACACCCTTCTTGAAATTCCACAACACTGTTATACAATGCCTAAAAGGGTCCTTACAACAAAAAGGCATAACTAAACCAAAACTTGGCGAGAGGACCTGTGAGGATGGATGGCCGGGATAGCTGACTGAAGTCGGGCTTGTAGCTAACAAAGCTTTCAAAGTGTTAGCTTTGAAAAGTTAGTTTGATTTGCCCTACACAGTGTTTTGAGCTTGAAGGTTTTGGTGTGTTAGCATTGTGTGTGTGTGTTTTTCAAGTTTTTAGGCTTGAAGAAGAAGTAAAATTCGAAACCTGAGCTTTCTCAGGGCGACAGAGTTTGGCACCGAAACCATGCAGCCAGCACTTACACCCCAAGCCCTGGACGATACCCCAGAAGGCCCAATACTCGAAACTAACCCTTCCTAGACATCCTCAGGGTTTACAGCGCGAATGCCAGCAGCCCGAAAGCCGCGCACAGATCCTGAAAGATGTGCCTCTAACTTCAAAAGTAGCCAGAAACCTGCAAACCCTCTCAAGCCTGAACCTAAGCCGTGATGTTTCGCAAGGTATGCCGAGCAGTTCGTCGGTATCCAGGAGACTCGGATTTGGGTATGCAGCCTACTTCTAAAGCCATGAAACTTTAGGGAGCCAACCCCAAACCTAAGCCCCTTCTAAGGCTTGCAAACACCGTTGCAGAGCGGCATAAACAAGTCCTAAGCCCGAAATCTAAGCCAGTAAAGCCAGCCCTATAGGTTACAAACCCTTCAGAGTGACAAACCCCTGTAAACAGACTGCCCTTATCACCTAAACCCTTAACCCTAAACCCCCCAAACAAAGCCTTATAAGCCCTAAACCCCGAAACTCTAAGTTCTTAAACCCTAAACCCTAACATGCCCAAAAATCCCTAACATGCCCAGAAATCCGCGGAGGAGGCCGGTGAGCTGATTTTCATCCCCGCTGGCAATCCCCATGGGGCTGCATGGTGGCAGAAGTACTCGGAACCTCTTACCCATAGGCCCCATAGTAGTTCGGATTCTAAACATGAACCCCAAAAAGGAACTACTACGGGGCCTATGTGGGTAGTGTTGACGGGGTTGTATAGAGTCACTCTGAATTTGAAGGACTTGTGGGATAATTGTTCATGAGATCTTTTGTAATCTCTACAGCAATAGTGTGCTGCACAACACCCCAACATCCCGTTCTATGTGTTAAGGCGCCTGTATTGGAGTATAGCGGGCTCTGTCAAGGTCGTTAGTTAAGTGCGGTTTAGGGGTTTAGGGTTTAGGGTTGCGGTGTTCTGAGGTGTTTTTTGCATTCGCAAGGCTTTTCAGGGGGCTGTCTGGGTTCACCATAACTTCTCGGATGTGTTTAATGGACTGTTCACTGGGGCTGCAGGATTTCGCACGATTTCGTGCAGAGGCTCCACCAGCCGCCAGTTCACAAAGAAGCTTTCAGTTTTCGCTACGCGTATTTGTGGGCCCCAGAAATGAGAATAGGGTTTTGGGCTGTATCATAGTACAGCTATGTAGGGCATGTAGGGACTGTACTGATTCTTCCGACTCCCACATTAGGGCTTGTCGAGTTTGTTCAAACAGCCGGGAATCTTAGGAAGCGTGGAGGACACTTGCTTGAGATCAGGATCACTACTTGGAGGATCATGGGACTTAGTAAGTAAGGTTATAAGTACCTTAATTGGGGTTATAAGTCTAGTTACCCAAGTTATAACCCTAGTTACTAAGTCCCAGGATCCTTTAAGTAACCCCCGGGCCTGAAGACTTTGGAACTAGCAGCAATAATCCTTTTGGCCACTATAGAAACCTTAGTCCTCAGAACTTCTGATGCATACTGTAACCGTTTAGGGTTTAGGGTTTAGGGTTTAGGGTTTAGGGTTTAGGGTATTTCGGCCTCAACATTGAGCCCAAGACCATTAACTTGAGTAGGGCGACCCCGATCGCCGGCACCGTAAACCTCTAAACCCCTTACCCAGTAACTCCAAGATCCCTTAATTAACCTAGTAGTAGAGTAGGTAGCCTTCAACCTGTTTGGGTTAGTATAGTCCACATATATTCCCTATATAACCAAAAAGGTTAACCTTTGGTTCCCCATGATACCCGACAACTAGGTTAAGGAATAATGCCTTAAACCATAGTAGGATGCCTTATATGAGTTAAGGTATCTTCCTTAGTTGAGGGCTATTGGTGTCTCTGAATAAAACCCCCAAAGCCCTCAAGCCTTACAGTATGGCTCAGGATCCTTTCAGGCCTTGTTATATACCGGTGTCTGTAGGGAATGAATCCACCCACGAGGTTCCTATGTCATGGTTGGGATAGGATTAAACATGTACATGCTTAAGCCTTATTGGGTATGTAAGTACCCATGGAAATCGAAAATGTTACCCAACTATGGCAAAGGTTCGGAACTTAGACCACATCCATGGCGTCAGCATGAACTACGTGGATCTCAGCAACGTGGAGCTCAGCATTCTCGAGAGTGTTTGGGACAACGAGGCGCTCAGAGCTTTGGAGTCGGGGTGCCTACGAAATTGGAATTTCGAAACAACAAAGGGGCAGCAATAACGAGCTCGTGAGTAGTAGTCTCCTGAATACAAGGGCAACCAAACAAGGTAATCTTAATGACCCCAACATCAAGAGAACTCCGCCCAGTCAGTCACCATCAGCATCGTAGTACATCTCGGTGTGCTAGCAAGCAAGCCGCCCATAATATAAGGGCCTAATCAATTATCAATACCATTTGGGGGAGGGTCCTTATTGTAATTATAGTATAATGGGCCCAAAACCCTATTCTAACTATGAGGGCCCCTATAGCCCCCTATATTAGATCGATCCTAAGTTAGGAGACCTCAATCCTCGTTTCTAACAGGCTCCAGTAATGAGACTTCTCCCAACGAAAGTTATTTTGCAGCAAATCTCAACTATACATGCATGCCCAGAGATGAATACGCAAATGGAAAGGTTGATTGACCGATAGCTAGGCTGGTAGATTGATAGATAGATACAAAAATAGACAGATAGATATGATCAAAGAGCGAAATAAAGTTTGATAGATACATATGCACGTGATGAATGCAGAGAGGCTACATTATTAGACCCCAGTTCCATGCTCGTGAGCGCAGGGCGACAAAGTGGAGCTCTACACAGACGGGGTGTCCTGCTCGCATCAGGGGCTGGAGGTTTCCGGGTTTGCATCTTCACTGACCACCAATTGAGAATCCCCGAAACCCTTGCAAGCTTACACCCTCAAGCCCAAAAGTAAAACCCCATACATAAGCTCAGTAGAGCTCCGAAACCACGGGGTAACGGTATGTTTGCGACCAGGATCATTCTGGGAGGAGAGGCCTCTCTTCTTGGAGTTTGCTTAAGAAACTCAAGAGGTTAGGTCTGAGTATCTCAGGGTTTCGGGCACAGACAGCCTTGATTTCTTAATACAATGGCCTTAATAAATAGAAGAGGGTTTTGGGGCCCAGAATACTGCAATTCTAAGAAGGAACCTTCAGAAAGGGTTTTGGGGCCCAGAATACTACAATTCTCATAATAAGGAACCTTCAGAAAGGGTTTTGGGGCCCATAATACTGCAATTCTCATAATAAGGAACCTTCAGAGAGGGTTTTGGGGCCCAGAATACTAGAATTCTAAGAAGGACCTATAGTCTCCATTGTAGTCCCTTTTTCTGGTTTAACAAAATATGTAATAAGGATCCTATAAGGTAATCCCAAAACGAACTACAATGGAGACTATAAGGAACCCCCACGAAGAGTTAAAACCCCAAACCCTTTAACGGTCCCCGTCTGAGGCATCGAAAGCACGAGCCCAATGAGGGGGCCCTTAGGTTCCTTTCAAAGGTTACAGGGAACTCCAGAAAGTTCGAATATGGTTTCAGGGCAGGATACCCTATAATTTACCATCAAGGGTTTCGGAGAATCATATTCCAACTTTCTGGCTTTTACCTTAAGGGTCTATAGGGGTTAGGTTGGGGGTTTAGGGTTTAGGGCTTATAATAGGGATTAGGGTTCGGGGGTTTAGGGTTTAGGGGTTCGGGGTTAGGTTTGTTTAGAGGGCTCCTTGAAAGGGCTTCCTTCAAAGGGTTCTAGAAGGGTTCTGCCATAGGGGTTGAGGGCACAGGGGCCCGAAACAGTACATTTTTTGATGCGTGGTACATTGGTACATTATCCTATATAGGTGGTTGTCAAAATTATGGTCCCTTTTTGGGTACCCTAAATTTAGGTGCCGTACTATAATAAGGACCCAGAAAGGGACCATAATTTCGACAACCCCCCATATGGCTTTCAAGCAACCCTTAAGATTCCTATTCTGTTTTTTCAGGCTCCTGTATACTACTTATGGAGGATGCCTTTTCTTGGTCTTAAAGTACCTATGTAGGAACCCCTTTGTGACTGAAGTGTATACATGCATGGGCCCTTGGGGTTACTCCAAAAAGCATGTTTGGTGTTTTGGTTTTGTGACTTTCCATCGTCTTGAACCAAAAAACATGCATTTCAGTAGAGTTGGAGTTGCAACCACGTTTGTCTAAGAGAGAGTGTCCTAGCGTTCGTTTGGGGGTCGTTATTGTGAGCGCGGCATGCTGTCAAAGAAGTCAGTATAGGGACTTTATTTGAGAACTGCGCGCAATTGCCCACATTAAAGCTCTGTGGCGATTGCCTGCCAGAGTAATAGCCAGTTTCGGCAACAACACTCTTAGTCACTAGTGCTATGATGGGAATAGCACTATGGTCCTTATAGCAGCAGTTGCAGGACCAGACATACTACAGGAGAGCACTTGCAGTATACTGAGTTGGTATGATACAGCCAAGGGTGAGGGCATAGTCGCAGACCTAGACCCAAGATGATGCTACCTGCTACAGTCGAAGAGCCACAGAACCTGCGCGAACTCCAGGCACGAAGCTGTAAAACCCCAAACTTTTAACGCTTCCCCCCATCACGAAGCCAGAACTCCATAACGTCATAATGAGACTATATGTATCATCTATTCCAAGATGTATAGATATATGCATACACATGTGTAAACTATAAGCACAGTACGTGTGCATGGATACCCTATACCCCAGAACCTGGGGCTACTTCGCGTGAACTGCAGAAGAGCATCCCGCACGGCATCCTCTCCAGTCAGAGTGGCATGCGCTTTGGAGAGTGGAAGGCCACCTGGATCCCAGACCTTCTAAAAACCCCTAAATGAAGGAATATACCTTAAATTATAATAGGATCCCAAATATGAATTGAGGTATATTCCTTTATTAAGGGATTTTGGAAGGTCTGGGGGATTAAGGGTTTTAATAGCTCCTGAAATTCCTTGAAGGGATCTATCAGGGTTCCATAAGGGGTTTTGGGTTTAGGGGTTTTGGAGTTTACCTTATTTTGGGGGTCCTAGTCCTTATAATAAGGGTCCTACTATTTAAAGTTTTAAACACGGGGCCCCTATTTCTGAAACTTCCATATACATACCGTAATTAGAGTAGGATCGCTAATATGACTTAACGCACATCAAAGGGCTCCAAGAGTGGGATGAAGGTAGGTGGGGTAATCCCCAAACAGGACTCCTTATCATAGGGGCCTTTATGATTACCAATACTATTTTGGGGGGTTCCTTGTTATATTCATAGAAAAATGGCCCCCAAAACCCTATTCTAATTATTAAGGCCCCTACTACTATTGATCCCTTTTTGTAGGCCTTATAGACCCCTTTAAAGGAGCCCTATTCTACTTATTAAGGCCCCTGCAGCATACAGGGATCCTAAGCTTACCTACCTTCGCCCCAACCTTTGGAGACCTCCGAGCTCGAAAGTCGAATGTCTACGCTTTTATGATGGGTTGTGAAACATAATAGGCCTATACACTGCTAACATCCACATAAGGTCTGTATATGTGTGTCTCTATATATATATATATATATATATACACATATGTATTCATGTGTGTGTGTGTGTGTGTTTTTGTGTGTGTGTCAGTTCGAGATCTTAGGGCTGGGCTTTTTAGTTCGGGCTTTGAACGTTGAACACGCCTCAAACACTAAGCTCAGGGTCTGCCGTTCAGGATTTCGGGATTACGAAACCCCAAACCCGTCTAGGGGTTTGCGGATTATAGGGGTTTAGTGTTTGGGAGCGTGGGTTTTGCTCTTAAGCCCCGATGCGCGGTGCAGGATTGGGTTCTAGGTTGTCGAGTTGCTTTAGGGTTTAGTGCGGGAGTTGAGCGTTTAGGTTGCCGGATCGGGTTCTAGCGTTTAGGGTTTAGGGTTCCTAGAGCTTTAGGGTTTGGGGGTTTAGGGTCTAGGGTTCCTAAAGCTGTTGGGCTTTAGGGTTTGGGGGTTTTCGGCTCAGAAGGTGTGTTGTATGGTTTATGCTTTGAGGGTTTGTGGATTTTGCAGCATCGTCGGAATTTGTCTTGTCCGGCTGGGAAGTGCTCTTCACTTGAAGGCTCGTGGGACGTGGCAAACAGGATTCCAGCTACTTCATTTGTCTTAGGAGTCGAAGTTTCGAGTTCAGTGCTCACTTGAACCAGCATAGGACAAGGTTGCTATATGTACCAACCCTGCTTTACAACACACCTTCTGAGCCGAAAACCCCCAAACCCGAAAGCCCGACAGCTTTAGGAACCCTAGACCCTAAACCCCCAAACCCTAAAGCTCTAGGAACCCTAAACCCCCAAACCCTAAAGCCCAAAAGCCCTAACAAGCTTAAACCAGACACCCCCAAACCCTAAATCCCAAAAGCCCTAATAACCCAAAACCCTAAACCCCCAAACCCTAAAGCCCTAGGAACCCTAAACCCTAAACCCCCAGACCCTCAAGCCCTAAAGGCCTAGGAACCCTAAACCCTAAACCCCCAGACCCTGGAACCGTAAGACCGAAAAGCCCCCCCCCCTCCCGCCCAAGCAGGCCAAGGACTGGAAGAAGGAGAGCTTCGACCTCTTCTGAGACCCAAAGGGTCCGAAGTTCCCATATAGGAGAATATAGGGTTGTGAAAGTCGAATGTAGGGCTCTTACAGCAGAATGTAGGTCCTTATGGCAGAGTGTAGGGTTCTTATAGCAGAAATTGCTATTTTGATTTAGGGAAGTATCCCCCATCAAAGTACCTAGGACCTAAGACCCTTTGGGAGCATCTGTAAACCCTTAAAGCAGGGTTTTGGGGTTTAGGGAATTAGGGCTTAGGTGCTTAGGGTACCTTGACCCCCCAAAACCCACCTAAACTTATGCGTGGAAGTCATACTCAGCAAATGCAGCTCTAAGAAGACATTGTAAGATTCCTAGGGTATACATTTAAAGCCTCTACGATCTGGGCTTTGCGAGATTAGGGCTTAGGCAGGATTTAGGGGCTTAGGGATTACAGTGGAACTGTTACTTGTATTACGACCTGCACTGTTGCTAAACCCTAAACCCTAAACCTCTGTTTGGTCCCGCCTTCGACTTTGGGTGGCAGGCCCAAGAACTAGTTCCGACCACTCGTAGCAAAAGTATGAGCGGCACCATTAAGAAATCAGGGCAGTGATAGTGTTTGCTTAGCATGGGTGGTTTAGCGCATGTATGGTTTGGCATGATTTTAGATGCGGTATCATGGCTACAGGTAAAAGGACGCCTCACTGTTCGCTAGTAGTTAGCATTCCTTGTTTAAGGACAGCCGTCGACTCCTGAACTCCCCAACTCCCAAAATGCCGTGTTGAAACTCTAAGACTGCCCGAGATTTCAGAAGCACCCGTAGGGGCGTAGGGGGGAGTTGCCTAGGGGGCCTTAATACCTATAATAAGGACTTAATCAGGCTTATTGAAGGGCCTATACCCCTCTCCCCCTACCCCTTCTTGCAGATTCTAGGCCAGGGAGCGAAAAGTCCTTGACTGAGAATTCTTGAGAAGAGACCTAAACCCTAAACCCTAGGCGTTCCTCAATTGTGGTGCAGGGGGGCTTCCTTTGGATTCCGGGACTTACGACACCATCCATTCCCGACTAAATGCGTTTTGCGCCCCTTTAAAACGTTGATGCTTCTCTACCCACGTCTGATACTTCAACCACAACAAAAACGCCCTCGGCCTTAGCCTCCCACCATTACAAAGAAACTACACGGTGAGGATTGATATGCGTAAGAGCCCCACGACCGTAAACCTTCACTCCCCAAGTGCTCATTAGGGACCCAAAAGGCACATGAGCATAAGCATGTTATAGGGATACCCCTACCTTCTTGGGCTTCATTATGAGGGGGTTTATATGGGAGATCCCTATCCTAACTTTTGCTTATGTGCTTTTTGGGGCCCACCTAAGCCCATAAGACACCAAACCCAGAACCCTGAAGCCCACGGTGCAAAGCGCCGGGCCTGCATTACCCCGAAACCAAGGGCGCTCTTGGTGTGTCGCTTCTGGCGCGGATCGATTCCACGAGTTCGGCTCCGAAAAAACAGTGACACAACTTGGGGTTCATTGGTGAGGTTGTGGGTGTGGGTTTGGGGGTCAAGCGGTGGTGGTTTTGGTTCCATAAACCTTACAGGAACCCAGAGAGCCCAATACCCCTTGATTAAGGAGTATAGCTAAAATCATAATATGAAGCCCCTTATGATTTAAGGTATATTGCTTAATTATGGGGTATTGGGCTCTCTGGGAAGACTTGCTACGGCCTCAAACGAACCTGTAAAGCCTTGCGATCGGTCTACAAATGCTCGCCGTTGCTAGCCCCAAAGCACAGGATGATGGAGATTAATAAAGGACCACCTAGAAGGGTTCCTTAAAGGGATCTATAATAGGGTTTTGGTTTTAGGGTCTAGGGTTTCTATCCAGGGTCTATAAGGGTATTGTAATAATTATAAAGGGGCCTCAATAATTAGAATATGGTTTCGGGGCACAATGTACTATAACTGTAACAGGGAACCCTCAAAACCCTATTCGAATTAATACGGCCCCTATACTAAATCCTTATAATAGCCCTTGTAAGACCCCTTTTAAAGGAACCCTATACTAATTAATAAGGTCTCTAGATGAATTCCGAACCCTGGCCCACAATCTCCTCGCTACCGTCGCTGCGGGCGGGGTTCGTTCAAAGGTTTTACGATCCAAAGGACAGCAAGTTGCTGAACCTGGAGCATCGACTAGCTATAAACCCCAAAAAATCGCCCGAAAAAGGAAACAAGATAACCAACAGCACAGACGAGCTATAAACCCCCAAAAAATGGCCCTAAATAGAGACAAGCTCAACCAGGACCAGGAGCCCTGTCCCAACCCGGGACCGAACAACCCGAAAGCTTAAACCCTGTTGGACAGAAGCCCTAATCTCTGAAAGGCTTTACGGTTTACATAGGGAGCTGCAAACGCCTCCTCTAGGGCCCGGAGTAAGTAGTCAGAAGACTCCTTCATTGTCCTTCTAAGAAAGACAAGCCGCGTTCTAACTATGCCCGAAGGCTCATAGGGAAAATCGTGGAGTTGGAAACGGTCTTGCCCCCAACTCACAGTCATATTTGCACCTGCATGGAGCCGATTACATCCCCGCACCGCACCGTGCACCACACAGTCTTGACAAGCGACATCCAGAAGCCGTCTAAGTGGACTCATCAGACTTCACTCACGGAAAGCCGCAAGACTTTTTGTAGCAATGCAGCTGCTTTACTTCACAATCAGAAAGACTCGGTCATGAACGGAGTATGCACTTTAGTTATAGGGTTTTGCTCAAGGGCTCGTCAGGGGTTTCATCGCTTGTGAAGTACAGCAGTGTCAGTCATGTGCAAGTCGTGGAGTTGCGGCTTAGCTGTATACTTCAGTTGTTTTGATCTAGAGATCTTATGGTGTTTAGATTTAGGTTATCATCGGTTCCAGGTTTGCTTCGGGTTTTCCGGCTCTCGTGTACATGTTCAATTCGCCATGAGCTCAGAAAAAAGCTATATTTATGATTTAAGGCTTAGCGAATAGCATTTGGCGTTCCGACAGCCTTTTGGCTCAGCAGATGCCACTGCACGGCCCAATGAAGGATAGCGGAGGTGGAGGCCTTCCATTGAACCAAGGTGGAAAGCGCCTCAACCCACATCACGGTAGCTCATTCAAGAGGCACGCCTAGCACGAGCTTTCAACATCGCGAGCGGGAGGATCACCGAAAAACGGGCAGTCAGGATCTTCTGTGCGTATAGTCGTTCCGTAGGGGCAAGAAGTAGTCGACCTGGAAACTCTGATATGTGTCCTGGATCCGGCAAGTGAGCCCAACACCGTCTATAGCCCATATACATTGTTACACCAGCTTGTGGAGACATTTTCAACCCTCCTCGTCGCGCCGTTGCCGCTCCTGTGCAATGCGGTGTAGCGCTGCAGCGGTAGCCTCCGCCCTAGCTGGCGATTGTGAGGTTCGACAGATGGACAGATGGATTGACCTGCTGTTGCTAGACACAGAGCAGGCTGGCAGGCAGGCAGGCAAGCAGAGACAAAAGGGGCATGCACGTACGTGCAATGCATGTATGTATGTACTTATGTATTTATGCCTGTATGCAGCATGTATTTGTGGATGCATGTATGCATGGATGCATGTATGCCTGTATGCATGTGTGCGTGTATGTGTGTGCATGTCTGTCTGCCTGCCTGCCTGTCTGTTTGTCTGTCTGTATGTATGCATCTATCTATCTAGGTACGCAAATGCTAGGGAGGTAGGTAGGGTAGGTGAGTTGCGTATGTGCATGCACGCAGACGTTGACGTTTGTATGCATGCATACATGTAAGTACTTATTGGATCTTATTGGCTGTAAACTCTACTTTTCAACTTACGGGATTTTTATAAGATAGTCCATTCTGAAAGTTCAAGCTTTTATTTCCTTGGGTTTTGGGCCAGTGAGTGTGACTAAAACTGCATGAAAAAGGGTTAGTCCGTCCGTCCGCCCGTGCATCAGTCAGTCAGTCCGTTAGTGCGTCAGTCCGTCGGTTCATCAGTCTTTCAGTCCGTCAGTCAGTGGCTCAGTTTGGTCGTTTGTCATAACAACGTCCAAACGGCAAAGCCGTAAACCTTGAAACCTTCATTTGCGAACCCCAAACCTTTCTAAACCACACACCCCAGAACCTCAACAACACCCCTCGAAGCCGAAATTTCGAACACCTTAACTGAGCTCTCTGCTTTGCCGAGATTTGCTTGCTTGCGCTTCGCTGCGTCGGAAGCTGAGACATTTTCAGGGCACCTAGGAGGCTAGGATAAAGTGTGACAAGACGGTACTACGATTACGAACTGGCATGGACTGTGGTATATTTTAATTATGGCTAGGGCTGGGGTAGCCCAGATACAAAACCCTTGGTTCTGACCCCTGAACCTGTGTTGTGTCTCTCAGTAAGCCGAATACCTAGAAAGCACCACACCCGACAATTGGGGACATTCACATGGACTCGAACATAGTTACGACGCTTGACCCAATCGTTAATACATTCCTTAGTTCAGGCTTTGAGGGTTTCCTTGCTAAGAAAGGGTTCGGCTCTTAATTGCATCCTGCCTCAAACCCCATTGTTCTCATCAATCCCCCATTTTAATAAACATATAAGGATTATGCAGCTGGCGTGTCAGGAGACCCCTTACGTGCGATGTCGGTACGTCTTAGGTGCTTTTGTCGACGTCGTCTCTTGACTGTGGAAACCGACGGCCCCAAATCTTACGGTTTAGGGCTAAGGGAACTGCTAAACCCTACACCCGAAAAGCCAGACAGCTAGATCATAAACCCTACACCCCAAGCCCGAAAACCAACAGCCTACGATTGAACCGGACCGCCAACCCTGAAAAGACAAGACCCCGCTGAAAAGGCAGCCCATCCGTGTGACGAAGAGGCTGGCCGAGTCGGGTCTTTGGGATTGGGCTGCTATAGGTCAAGGGTGTTCTGGGTTTCAGGGGTTTCTCGGCTTCGCTTATCAGTTTTTCTTCGTGTTGTTCTTCGCTCGTACCTTGTGGTCCTAGGCTTAGGCTGAGGATGCTGGGCCTATTGCCGTACCTGGGCATTGATTTGTGTCCTCTCTCTCTCTCTCTCTTTCTCTCTCGCGCTTGCTAGTGGTCTTGGGCTTAGGAGGGCCAGGCTTTGCCGGTGGTCGCGACTTGGTTTAAATTTTAGTGCTTTTTGCTCTCTGTCTTTCGCTCTCATTTATTTACTTACTCCCTTTCTCTCGCTTTTTGGTGCTTCGTTTCTGGCTGTCTGAGGAGGCGGACTACAGTGTGGATAGCATCGCCGTGCCCTTCCCACCCCTCCGGGAGAACGATGTCGACGCTTCAGTGTTCTGGGGGTTTTGGTGGCTTGGTATGCTTGCGGTCTGAACGGAAGGGGGCGTTAATACTCGGATGCTACGTTGCATGATGGGATCCTTGCGGCAACTTGGGCTGCTATTTCGTTGTGCATCTCGTCCGGCTCCTTGGAGTGCTGCTCACGGCCCAGTTCGACATCTTCGCTCCCGAGCCTGCGCCTCCTATCGTGCGGATCTCATCGGTGGAATAGTTGGCTCTTGTAGCTCCTTGTCCATACGCAACGCTGGTGTGATGAGCTTGCAAGCGGGAGTGCTGATGCACCGGCTCCTTGGTTTGGCTGTGTGGATGTGCGTGGTTGTGCATGCTGGCGTGTGTCTGTGTGTCTGTGTGTCTGCGTGTCTGCGTGTCTGCGTGTCTGCGTGTCTGCGTGTCTGCGTGTCTGCGTGTCTGCGTGTCTGCGTGTTTGCTGTCTGCGTGTCTGCGTGTCTGCGTGTCTGTGTGTCTGTGTGTCTGTGTGTCTGCGTGTCTGCGTGTCTGCGTGTCTGCGTGTCTGCGTGTTTGCTGTCTGCGTGTCTGCGTGTCTGTGTGTCTGTGTGTCTGTGTGTCTGCGTGTCTGCGTGTCTGCGTGTCTGCGTGTCTGCGTGTCTGCGTGTCTGCGTGTTTGCTGTCTGCGTGTCTGCGTGTCTGCGTGTCTGCGTCTCTGCGTCTCTGCGTGTCTGCGTCTCTGCGTGTCTGCGTCTCTGCGTCTCTGCGTGTCTGCGTGTCTGCGTGTCTGCGTGTCTGCGTGTCTGCGTGTCTGCGTGTCTGAGTGTCTGCGTGTCTGCGTCTGCGTCTGCGTCTCTGTCTGTGTCTCTGTCTGTGTCTCTGTCTGTGTCTCTGTCTGTGTCTCTGTCTGTGTCTCTGTCTGTGTCTCTCTCTGTGTCTCTCTGTGTCTCTCTGTCTCTGTGTCTGTGTGTCTGTCTGTCTGTCTGTCTGTCTGTCTGTCTGTCTGTGTGTCTGTCTGTGTGTGTGTGTGTGTGTGTGTCTGTGTGTCTGTGTGTGTGGACTCCTCTCGTACGTGAGGTAAGGGGCTCACAACCCAAAGTTTTGCAGCCATCACTGATTTGCCTTGAGATTTGCATCATGACGTCATGTGCCTGCAACATGTCTTACACCAGTGTTTTCTGCAGTGCAGGGGATTGTGGCACTTGCATCCTACCACACTCAACGAAGCTGTGGATGCAATTGGGAAGCAGGACCTGATCAGTCCTGTGTACCTGCATGGCAGCCCCCTGTGGTGCCAAGATTAGTTTGCGGACAGGCCCCCTGAGGTGTCCAGATCAGACAAGAACAACAGTGTTCGCAGCATGCAGATGTAGCACGGTTGCAGCAACCTGATAAACGTGGCTCAAACTGTTCACGGCACAGCCAGCAAACACTTTGTAACTAGTATCCATCCGACAGTGCCCAGTCCCATTGAAAAGTGTGAGTCAGCGGCTTTCCCTTACGGCCCCGTGACGCCCTTGGCGTGACCTGCATTGCAGGCAGCCCTTGCGGGGTACAATGCCTCAACCAGTTCCACAGCAGCAGTTCGGACAGCACCAGCCATCATTGGCACCCCAGATGCTCCCGACAACAGCGATTTTCCCGGCGCAACCTGTCCCCGCCGGCGATGCAGCAAATGACGTACCAACAGCCTCAGCAACAGCTGATGGCACCTCCCGCTCCTCCATCGACGGCTTTCCCCACAACAGCCGTATTCTCGACCCCAACCCCTCCTGCACCCTTGATGCAGCACATGCCCTACCCACAGCCACAACAACAGATGATGGCACCTCCTGGCCCACCACCAACGACTCCACCAACAGCTCACCACACATCAACCCCCTTCTTACACAACTCACTACTCAGCACCTCCGCCACACATCACCCACTCACAACACTGCACCCAACCACAACACCAACCATAAGTATGGCAGCAAGCACACTTCGCTGCACCATCCCTTATGTGCTTTGTTGGGGCCCTATGTGAATCAGACCAATGTAAGCGTCGACACCGAAGACGCCAGAGCGAGGAGACGGTGTGGGTTGACGAGACCACACACGCTCCAACTCCATAAAGCTTGAACCCTAAAACCTAGACCCTAAGCCCAACTTAAATCCTCCCAAAACCTGAGAACAAGCACTTAAACTTGAACTCCGAGACCCCAAACCCCTAAAACCCCTCAAGACCCGAAGCTCTCTAGACCCAAATCCTAAACGTTACGTTAAAGCCTATAAACACTAAACGCCTAAACCCCTAAACCCCTAACTCTTCATCCCTACACCAAGTAGACACCTAAACCCCTGAACCCTAACACTTGAACCCTTAAACCCTAATCCTTAAACCAAAGGAACCCCAAGAGCTGCAGGTGTCCTCCGCATGTCCGGATCGGCCGGGTTCGGAGCTCGCGAGGCAGGGCCTTCACTTTAGGAAAGAGGGGTGGGGTGGGGTAAGTTTTCCTTAAAGGGTTCTTAACGGGCTCCTTAAAGGGATGTATAGGGGTTTAGGCTTTAGGGTAGGGCACCTGTGGTTTTAGGGTTTGTTCTCTGCACAAAAGGGTCCCTGGGGCCCACAATATAGGGGCAGTAATGATTAGACTGGGGTCTCCCCCCCTCTGCCCCGGAACGGTTTGGGTCTTCAGCTTTGGAGTCCCCCGAGCAGAGGCCCCTCCGCACATGCGCTTAAGGCCCTAACCTGTTTTATTTGGGGAGATATACCATTGGTGATGGAGGGGGAGGGGCGCAGAATGCACAGTGCACAAGTATACAGGAGACAGGCTTGCTCTTACCCAATCTCTTGCCTGTCAAGTGCTGTGTGCTGCTGCTGAGCAGTTTGCAGACTGTCGGGTGGGAGTGTGTTCTACGCAGGCATGGTTGCAGCCGTTTGTAATGTCATGATTTTGGTGCTCGTCACGCTGTGATGGTTTCTCCCCTGTGCAGAAGCACTGGCTGTCGCGGCGGATCATTGCAGTGACGCCCGTGGTATCTGTCGTCCTCCTTCCCCGTGGTCTGCGCGGGTTTGTTCCGGCTCGCGGTGACAAACGTTTGTCATCAGAACGCTTGGAGCAAGGGGTCCGGGTCCGGGGGGTAGGGTCCCGGGACTCGAGAGCCTTTTTTTCCAAAAGTTTTCAGAGAACAATTTCAGGTTATAGTAGTATAGTGTATATAGTGTAATGTATGCCAAGACCCTATGCTGCAGAACCCCAATCCCAGAGACGAGTCTCGCAGGCCCCACAGCCCCTAGCCTAAGAGTTCAGGTGTAATATGGGAGTTTTCGAGAATTAGGGGTACCTTATTTGGGGGTCCGTATAATCACGATCCTACTGTATAGGGTGCATATCAGGGTCCCCTATTTTCGGAAACTCCCATATAGGGGCCGTATACTCTAATTATGATAAGGAATCCCCACAAGAGTATAGATAATTATTTAGGCCAGCCCACGAACTCCTGAACCCTGAGCTCCTGCACAAGGTGTCTTAAGGACAAGTCCGAGCATGAAAGTGCGACTCTCAGGACGAGATTGAGATTTAGGGCCTCTGGGCTTCATCCGCTGCCGAAGAGCCCATAAGGCAGGCTGAAGAAACCTGCGCTGACTCCCTACCTGAACCCCGCAAGGGCCCTTTGATAGAGCCCTTCTGGTCCCTAGTAATGGGTATTTAAGGTATATTGGAGTGGAGTTGGGGGGATCTAGGTAGTAAGGCTGCAAGTATACGGGCAGTTAGATTCTGGCTTCAAAAACTATAAGTCGATGCGATTTTTGGGCTGCGTGATAGTTTTGGAAATGAACTCCACGCTCGACTGATGGAAACGGTTATGGAGTATAAACCTTAAAGTTTATACGACTCGTCTGAACAAAACCTTCACTTAATTCCTTTCAGACCCGTCTTAAATCCTATACAACCTGCATAAAACCTAAATGAATTTAACTCAGCACCTTTTCACAGGAGGCATTCATTATGAAGGTGATACTTTCCTGCGGCGTCTGCATCAACGAGCACTTCAACGACCCCAACACATGCTTTGTCCCTATGTGCAAATCCATTTGTGAGTATGTATTTGTTCTTCGATAAGGATGACACCTTCACGGCTGAGCAGAGGCAAAAGGTTCATCGTTGGCTTGATAAGTGGTTCAAAGATGAAGTTGGTTGCCGTTTCGAATTCTTTGGTGTGAGCTTCGCTGCCGAAGTAAAGTATTATTTTCAGCAAGCCCTTGGAGTGGAGGCCGACGATGAAGACGACGATTAGAAGAGTGCCAACTTCCAACTTTGGGGAAAACTGAATGCCAAGCACACTTAACTTCCAAACTCCGGTAAACCCCTAAACCATCCCTAGAAAAACCCTGCAAAGCCCTGTAATGTAAAGCCTTTTAAACCGTTAAACCCTTACGCGCTTAAACCCTAAGACCACTTCAACCCGAAGCTCCAGACCCCCCCCCAAAACCCTAAACCCCAACCCAACCCCAAAACCCAAAAACCCTAACCCCTGAACGACTAAGCCCCTAAACCCAATAGAAGCCTTGTAGTACCCTTATGGATCTCTTTAAAGAAACCCGTCTAAACCCCTGAACCCCGGAGCTACCCAGGCCCGACGGAGATCTCCTCGGGCTGTGCGGATTTCATTGCAGTGAACGCCGCCTGTGCCGAGCTTGGCTGAGCCCAGTGTTCCTCTAAGGGCTCCTTTAAAGGGGCCTTTGAGGGATCCTCTAAGGGCTCCTTTAAAGGGCTCCTTTGAGGGATCCTTTAAGGGGTCCTTATTTGCGAAGGGCTCCTTCAAGGGATCCTTTAAAGGACCCTTTGAGGCTTTCCAGAGTGCCCATTGGGGTTTTGTCGGGTTGCTGTGAGGGTTGTCTTAAGGGTTTAGGGCTGCGGCGGTTTAGATTTTCTGTTTCCTCTGAGGGGGTTCCTTTGCGGGTACTATCGGGGCTAGGGGGTTTCTATGCGGCTCCTTTAGCGGGTTCAGGGTGTTTCAGGTTCTACAAGGGTTTCAATGAGAAGTTCTTTTCAGGTTCTTACAAGAGTTCCGCCAAGGATTCTATGAGGGTTTACGCTTTATGGTTTTGAGACGTAAGAGGGTTTCTGTGAGGATGCTTTGGGGGCTCTAGGGTTTTCTCACAGCTCGAAGGTGCCGAGGACATCACCAAGTTTTGCGACGAGGCAGCCGGCTGTTAGGCTTCTCGGGATTTTGGCAATTTGGTTCGTTGATGGTGTGGATTTTTTGTCAAATTTAAGGGTCCTTTTTGTGTCCCTAATATAGTACGGCACGTAATATTTAGGGTGCCCAAAAAGGGAGCCAGAATAAAAAGGATTCCGGGTACGGCTTCGGTTTGTGGAAGTGTGGGGTTGAAGCACATGCCTGGACCGAGCGGAGCTGGAGGTGTGGGGCTTGGAGAGAAATGAGAGATGCTAAACGTTTAAGGATCTACGAGTGTCTATTCAATACTGTCTGGAGGAATTAATATTGGGGCCTTAATATACTATTTTGGGGCTCCCTTACTATAACTATAGTACTATGATTCTAAATATTAAGGCCCCTATAGATTAGTCGTCCGCTTTGCAGCAGCGGCCTCAGCAGCCACAGCATCATGACCGCGTGACTGGCTTCGTCTTTATTTTCACCGGCAACACGGTCAGCAGCAACATCCAAGCAAGTCATCGCTGATATTATGTTCACAATGTGTTGTCTTGCGAGATCAGTTTCGCTTGGCGTCGCAGCATATATTGCTACAGGGTGTGGCAGTTGCGACTTGAAGCTGATGTCACGCATAGTGCAACATCAGGCATTGGTGATCGACAGGCATGCGGATGGACTTACATGAAACGAAAGGTACTTGTTCGTGTTGTTCCGAGTGATGGTTTGTTCTCCGCAAACATCTGATGGATAAATTCTTGACTTGTCAACAACAAGAACAGACCATCCTTTTCACAAGACGGGGTACTGAGAGGCTTGACCAAGAGACTCGAGATGGATGAAGAAGGGGAAGGCTTGCTTATCATCTTGCTTGGAGTGCCACTGAGGGCAATATTGTCGCTAATATTAATATAGAAACACACACAATTATTTGATTACCAATATTGTTCCTGAGGGCTGCTTGATATGATTATACTGAAGGAGCCCAACACCTATTAAGGCTCCACCCTACATGCAGATGCAGCTCAGACGCTTACTGTAGGGCGTCTTCAATAGCAAAGTGCTTGACAGAATAGGGCCTTAGCAAGTAGGTCTCCTCCATTAGTAGACCATGGAACTTCTTGCTTTCTTCTACAGCATATTCCATATTCCTGAAAGCTGAAAGTTGTATTCCGTAGTGCAGTAGACTGACTGAGGCTTTTGCACCCTGCTTATAGCCAGCTTCTAATTCCCACGATCATTGAAGCAAGGCCCCTAAACTCTAAAACCCCAAACCCTGAAACCCTATACACCCTCAAGCACTAGAACCCTAGACAAGGCTCTGCACACCTGGCCCCGGCGCAGATTTTAGCTTAGGGTGTGTCAGACATGCTTTAAGGGTTCAAGCTGTGATGATGAGGATTTCATGCAGGGAGTCCCCGACAGTGCAGCTTAAACATGCCAGCAACCATTTCATCTTACCCCCCAAAATCCTAAACCCTCCAAGCCCGGAATACACCCAACTCCTGCAACACGGTAAGCAACAACAATCTGAAGGCATTTTTCTCCGACGACACAGCGCTGTGTTTAAGCACCTGGACGTCTCCTGAGGACCCCACCTTGGGGGGAGCTGAATTGTCGATTCTAAGGTTTAAGGGAATTGAAGGATTCAGCTTTCGAGGTGGAGGGGTTGTGGTTGAGGGCTTCAGGCAGTTCTCTGCGGGGGTTTGTGCTTGGATGCCAAGGCCATATGGCAATCCTAGTTTCAATAAAATAAGACTCCCCAAAAAACAGAAGCGACCCCTATTTAGACAACCACTAGTTGTGAGAGGATGGGCGTTTGCAGGGGTGCACGGGTTCGGGTATTACATAGGCGGGGCAAATTAATATGCGGCTTGGTGTCCAAGTGAGATTCGTGGAGTTTCGGGTTGTCTGACTTCAGCATTAGAGGGCTGCGAGCATGAGGGAGTCAAGGGAGTGTAGAAAGGAGTGGTTGGGTTTGTAGGGGTGCGGCTCTTCAGGGATTGCAGGGTTCAGATCCTGGGGTTGAATTTGCTTCGAGTTTGGAGCATGAGTCAGGGGCCCAGGGGTTTATGCGTCGGGAGCTTTTGGTTTCGAACTTGTGGGTTTAATCCCTAAACCCTAATCCCTAAACCCTAATCCCTAAACCCTAATCCCTAATCCTTAAACCTTAAACCCTACACCCTAAACCCTAAACCTTAAACCCTAAACCCTAAACCCAAAGCCCTGCGGGTCTCGGGGGCCAGCGCAAGCATGGCTCTGCCATGGTGTTTTGCTGCGCCGGAGGATGCAGCTTGAGCAAGGTCCGCCTGCCGATGTTTGCAGCCATGGGTCTCCGAAGGGGTGCGAAGAAGCTGTTCAATCCTTCTCGCGAGACATCGGAGGAGAGTTTGCAAAAGGCCTTTCGCTCCCGTCGAAAGATGGAGCGTCGGGACGACGTTGCCCTCGAGCCTGGAGCCCCAGCTGGTTTCTGAAGTGCTGCATCCGACGCTGTTGATGACCTACCTCCTATAGAGACGATTCCGCCTGGAGCAGGGTTCAAGGTAGGGGTCTTCCCACTACTCGTGCTGGCTAGATTGCGATTTCTCGCATCGCGCTGGTTTCAGGCTAGTTTGGTCATTGGTTGGGCTGTATGTATGTGTGTATGTAGGTCTGACTGCATATGTAGAATATGTATGCAAATAGTGTTCTTGATCTCAGTTTCTGTGCGTACAATGACTGAGAAGTCAGAACACTTAGCACAGGATTGGTTCAGGTTTCAGGGTCCTTGAACCTTCAAGCCCTACATCATTTCGGTTTCGGGTTCAGGGTCCTGCACTCCCAAGCCCGAAACCCTGAACCCTTACAGCCTGAGGGCTGCAACCCTAAAGTATCTCTTGATACGTTTGGGCTTAAACCTCCCCAAGCCCTGAAGCCCATAGGCCTTGGCAGTTTCGGGTTGAGGGTTTAGGGTTGAGCATAGGGTTAAGTGACACTTTGGAGTGACGTTGCAAGCCAGTTGCAAGTAGGTTGAGGCTTTCGGTTTTCGGGTTCAGGGTCCAGGGTGATGAAGACTTCATTTCTACCAAGCCAAGGAGCATGGGCCTGCGCTGAGCACTTTAGGGCGCGAGTTTGTGGGTTTCGGGGTAACACGGCCTAAACTCCAAGCCTGATGATAGGTTGAATGCTCAACCGTGGACTGGGACGGCAGCTGAATGGCGCAAATTCCACCTGGCGGCTATGTGAAGCCAGATTCGGTGCTCCATGTGACATAGGGGTCGGAATACTTCAGATGTAACGGCAGCCGCTTGTAGTCCCTTGTATAAATACAGTGGAATACCCCTTCCACCACGTCGTTTTCTCCCCTGGATATAAGGATAGAATAAAGTTTACCAAGTCTGCGCGCAGAGGACACCCCCAACGATATTGGCTAGAGCAAGTTGCGGAATGGACATTGCCAATATTCCAAGCTCACCTGGACCACACCGCCCAGGAATGTAGAAGGGATTTACTTGGACTTAAACAATACCTACAGCTACACGCCGAATATAGCCTACAATTGGAGACTGCGCCGACGCGCTCGCCTGCTTTGTTCAAAAGACACGTTACCCTTGGATGCGCATGCCAACCGTAAAAACCCTAAACCCAAAGCCCTGCGGGTCTCGGGGCCTGTGGACCTGTTGGCAGGCGCCTTCTGCTTTTGAGGAGCTTCAAACCCTTGGCTGGGCTTTGGAACACCATACTTTAATACTTTTTTCTTAAAGGAACCATTATGAAATAAAAGTCTGTATTTTTCTCAAAGGTTACTTAAAAGCCCAGTTGAAATCCAAAACCTAAGGCCCTAAGGACCTCAGTTTTGGTTTGCGGAAAGGGGTAGGAGGAGTTAACATTTCATTGGGTAGGGCCGGGTAGGGGCTTCTCTGCTTTAACAGGATTTTCGGGGATGGAGTGTAAGTTTTGCTTATGCGCGGCGTATCGAGGAATATTATTCTTTTAAAAATTTCGGCTCGTCAATTTCCACAGCCCGGAGCCCTCTTAAGACACGACGAAGCAGCATTCAGTCTACAGTGACTGGAATCTGCGGCCATTCAAATGCCAATGAAGAATTGCAACTTTTACATGCCCTTAAATTAAACTTTAAACTCTTAGCCAGCAACTCTAGACCCGAAACCCCTAAGTCTCTTCCAAACCTTCAAGCAACCCCATCGCGACCTGCATGTGGTAAGGCCCCTGAAAACACAGGGTTCCCTTTTCGGTGCTCTTGAGCTAGTAGGTAGGGGCTGTGTACTGTCTACCCTGAACCCTAATACCTTAACTGGAGAACCCTGAAGTCCTACATGTGGGAGTTTCCGAAAAATTAGGGACACCTTATTTTGGGGTCCTTATAATAAGAATCCTACTATTTCGGGTACTATAGTAGGGTCCTATATGTTCGGAAGCTCCTGTATCAAGAACCGCCAATTTCCCTGAATCCCCGCAACCTCTTTAGAACCATAAATACTGAGCACGCAACCTTCCTGAATCAGGATTTATCGAAGAAATGCTCCGGTGTGCGGAACTCAGCCCGCTCAGCGGATTTGGGGAATTAGGGGTGGGGCTCAGGCACCCCGGTGGTTTAAGGTGGGGTTTCAGAATCAAGACGGATTTGGGGTTTGGGGTGTCGGCTCTAGCAGCTTTATGAGCTTACGGCTTTCGGAAGCAGCAGTTTCAGCAGCACCAGGACGAGGATTGGAGGGAGTTCGAGGAGGAAGTCGGTGCAAGTATCCACCTGCAGAGGAGGGCACAGAAGGCACCGGCTCAAGCCATGCGGGATTCTTTCTCCACGCTATTGGGTGTGGAGGGGAGAAAGAGCGGCAGTGACAAAGGCGGCAATTCTGCGATCTCTGACGCCAGGAGACTGGCCGAAATGTCGCCATGCAGAGAACCTCTGCCTGGGCCAGCGCACGATGTTGTGGCTCAGCCTGAACAAAGGCGAGTACAAATTCACTCCGGGCACTGGGGAAGATAAAGCAGTTGCGGAAGCTCACCTGCTCTGACTTCCAATCCTTTGTGAGCCGCACGCCGCACGCACTCTTCGCAGGCTTGCATCAACGCCAACACCAGGAACAGCTTGCTGGGACCTTTCCGATGAAGAGCCACCTATCACAGGGTCCAGCTGTCAGCGGGCAGGCCTGGTTCGCTGCAAGGGAGGTCGGAGTCGGTCGCGGGGCATTGGGTTTAGGGTTTAGGGTTTTAGGGTTTAGGATCGAGCTCATTGAACCTTCAAGCGGCATGTGAGGATGCCGTTTTTGGTTGCAGCTCTTCCGACAGTGCCTAGAAGAGGTTGAAAGGTTCATGCAATACATGCATCACCCGTAAGATCTAGTGTGCCTGGGAGCCGGACCTCAAGAAATGACACTTTGCTTTTTGCACTTAGACGCACTCCCACGCAACACAGGAGGCTTCAATAAGCAGCACTGGTGAACTTTTGTCTTCCTGCCGCCGTTGGCTGTGCTGTTGGAATCCACTCACACTTCATCCTGCAGTGACGACAAAGGCTCGGACGGTGGAGGTTTGCAGGCGTGGGGGAAAGAGCTTAAACTACCAGAAGCTACTTTCGTGCAGGTTCTTCTTATCAACCCTATTTTAGACTGTATGTTTTGGTAGGTCGAGTTTTGGTTTAGGGGGTTCGTATATGGGTGTTTAGGGGGTTCGTATATGGGGTTGGAGCAGTGAGCAGCACTCCTGCGTGAAGGGTCACACCATGGATCGTGCTCCTGGGCCTCATGAGGTTTTATAAGGATACCAGACGGGTTCAACATGTTACTCGCTCTCAACGGGCCATATCAGAGTTCTATAAGGGGTTGATAAGCACCCGATGATGTTCAATCCCTAAACCTAAACCCTCATCCTGACATGAAAAACCTTCAAGCCCTCCAGCTTTCGATAGCAATATCCCGTCATCGTCCCTTCAGCATCCTAAGGTCTCGAAGCTCTATGATTCTGATTGCAGCGCCGAGGTTTCGGACTAAAATAGGACCTGTAAACAATTAGAATAGGCCTCGGGGGTCTATTGTACTTGTAGTTATAGTAAGGACCCACCAAAACCCTATTCTAATTATTAAGGCCCCTAGACTAAATCCTTATAATAGCCCGTATAGTAGCCCTTATGGACTATAGACCCCTTCAAAGGAACCCTATATATCACCGAAGCGTGAAATCGGCAATGAGGTCCTCGAGTGGGCTCTGCCAAAGCCTGAGGCCAGCCGGCACCCCCCAAGACCACTGCAATGGAGCTTTAGGGTTTAGGTTTTGAGGTATAACGGTTATGGTCCTTAAGAGTAACTTAAGAGTTGGGTATTTAGGGTATATTAGAGGGTACTTTAAGGGGGTTCCGGGTCTGTTAGACTCTAAGCTCAGAGGTTCAGGGTTATGGGTTTGGGGCTTTATGGCTTCGGGGCGTGAGCCCCAAACCCCGAAACCCCTGAACTCTAAACCGCAAAGCCTCGTTTTAGGGTTTAGGGGTTTAGGGCTTAGGATGGCTGCAGCCCCAAACTCGCCAAAGCGCAAAATCCGAATCTATGTCTCCCAGCGGGCCCTGCTTACCTTTCTGCACGGCTTAGGGTTCAGGTTCCTTGTAAAACTACACAATACTTGGAGGAGCAAGGGGTTTAGTAAGTAAGGTTAGAAGTACCTTAATTGGGGTTATAAGTATAGTTACCCTTTTTTCAACCCTAGCTACTAAGTCCCATGATCCTTTAAGTGCCAAAAAGGCAGCTCTTTTCTAGATGAGTGGAGATCCTAGTAATGAAGACACCCTTGACAGCTGCAAGCATGTGAAGCCCATAAACCCCAAGGCCCAAAAGCCCTACCGTGCCCCACATGCGGAAACGCCCCATGAACCTAAAAGCCTACACCATCCTAAACCCCTGAAAGCCCCAAAACCTCAGAGCCAAAACCCTAAAGCCCTTATAGAAGAACTACAGAAAGACTGACGTGTACCCCCCTATTTAACACTGAAAGGAGGCCTAAAAATTATCTGAAGGGGCAACCCTAAACCCTACAAGGAAACCCTACGACCCCAATCCCTAAACTGATCCCTAAAACCCACCCCTATGCTGTCCTTCAAGGAGCCCTGAAAGGGCTCCTTGAAGGAACCCTATGACCGAAATCCCTAACGGTCTCCACCAGACCCTTGGATGGGGTTCAGGGCTTATAGAGTTAGGGTTTTTAAGAGCTTGGGGTTCTTGTTTGTAGAGTTTGTGGTGTAGAACTTAGGGTTTTGCGCTTCAGAAGTGGGTTTCGTTCGGGTTTAGGAGGTTTGAGTACAGAATAATGCGTATACATGGTGTTAGGGTCCAGAGGGCTTTCGGGGCTTTGTGGCATGACTGGGGGGTTTAAGGGTTTAGGGTTTAGGGTTTAGGGTTTAGGGAAGTTTAGGGGCTTGCTTTTCAGGACTTCAAATCGCGTGGATCCTCCCAGCTTGTCATTAGCTCGTTTTGGCAGGCCCACGTATCCGATTTGGGAGTTCCCGAAAATAGGGGACCCTAATATAGTACCCCAAATAGTAACATCCTTATTATAAGGCCCCCAAAATAAGGCACCCCTAATTTTCGGAAACTCTCATTTGGCTGCATCTAGCTCTATGCCTCTATGCAGTTCCGGTAGGACTTGTATCACTAATTAGCCGCGTAGCTTAGATGTTGGACCAGGGCTTCACGAATTGCCTGCCCTAGTTGAAGAGAAAAAGAGTGGGAACGAGGCTATCATGACAGCTTCGGACATACTCTAGCTTCACGACGGTCGTGTGTCGAAGAATGCAAAGTTGATTTCGGCGTCAATGTCTTTGACAAAGATGGCCAAACCGCTTTCAGAGGCTTTGCCACGCCGCCTGGGGAATTTGAAGGCGGTCTACAACAACAAGGAGTTCACCAGCGGCTGGGCCAAGCCTCAGCGGGAAGGAGGACTGTCCGTGTTCTCGTCCGCAAGTGCTCTGCCGGATCCGGTCAAGCTTCCCATTCGCACAAGGTCCTTCGTGGACATTGGCGGTGACAGCCGCGATAGAGCTTGGACAGGGCTTTCGCTGCGCAGTGACTCTTCCAGGGCATGCTCGTTTGTGTCTGGTGCCATGCTCCTGCGGTTGGCAGACCCCGACTATGCCATGCTTCGAGACGCATCTTCAGGCCTTTTAACAAATAGTCACACTACATCGAGCGTGTCATCATCCTGTGGACGACGAAATTCAAGACAATTGCTGCGCCGGCGGTTGTCGACAATACACTCGAAGGTCTCAGAGGGTTTGTTGCCAACTCCCAGGGTTTGGGGGTTCAATTGCCAAAGCAGCTTGGCAGGACCCAAGGCAAGATCACCCTTTGCAAATCCTAATGTTGCTGGCACGCGCGCGCGTTCGAAGTTTAGGGCTTTATGGTTGGGACCTCCGCAGCCATTGTCTGTCAACTTCTGAGCACAACTGAAGACGCGTCTTGCGGCTGCATACCTCCTCGCCTGAAAACCACATGCTATCCCAAAATCGCGGCGGCTGTATCATCTTCTCCGGATGCTTGTCCAGCATCACGCAACGTACCACAATATCTCTCTCTCTCTCTATCTCTTTCTCTCTCTGTCTCTCTTTCTTTCTATATATATATATATATATATATGTGTAAATGCATGGGTCCTTCGAGTACCCAGAGACTTGTTGCTAATACGAGAAACCTGACATTGAATCCCAAGACCCCGAAGCCCGATACCCACCGCTGACAGAGGCGGCAGATGATGAGGGTGGCCCTACTGATGAGCTGGGCCTGTCAGAGAAGGCTCAGAGGGTAAGTATGTATGTATGTATGTATATATATATATATATATGTAATATGTATATATATATATATATACACACATATTATAAGCATATATGTATATATATATGTATACAATATACAATATATAATATATAATATGTAATATACAGTATATAATATATTTATATATATATATATATAACTATATATATATATATAGACATACACCTGTTCCTGTGAGGGTAGAGGATTTCGGGTTTAGAGGTTTAGGAGTTTCGGGCTTTATGTAGGCGTTGAGGGGTTCGGAGTTTTGGGTGCCTTGTCACGCTTTCGAAGATTTCTTCGATGGAGCTTCGGAGAAGCGTCTAGAGTCTATGGTCTTTAGTGCGTGGTGCGGTGTTAGTGAAGTTTCACTAGTTCACATGAGGTCTTGATGCTAAGAATCCAGGCATATTCCTCAGTGCGGGGATTTTGGAAGGTCTGGGAAGTTGGTGTCTCGAAGATTACCCTACGGGTCCAAGTACTTAATTATCATTCACTCTCCAAAATAGTAACCTACACAACTACCATCCTAAACCCGAGTACCTAATTCTTGGGTCCTTTGGACCCTTACTTGGAGGATCATGGGACTTAGTAAGTAAGGTTAGAAGTACCTTAATTGGGGTTATAAGTATAGTTACCCTAATTATAACGCTAGGTACTAAGTTTCCTGATCCTTTAAGTAGGGTTACAGTGTCCCAGGGCTACTGTCAGGGCACGAGGCCTCATTTTTGCGGACTTTTGGGGGTTCGATTCCTCGGGCTTCAGGCTTTCGGGGATAAGGGCTTTAGGGTTTAGCAGGGGGTTGCTGTAGTCTCCTTAGGATTTTTTTGATATTTGCTTATACAAAATCCAAGAGAATATTAAACATAATGTTTTTATTATGGTTCTAAGGGGGGGTATAGGTTGAAGTTGTTGATATTTGGCGGTGTTTCCGCAGATTGAGGCTAGGGGCTGGTTGGTTTGAGCGTTGCTGGACACTTTCAGGTTATTTTTTGTGTGTTTACCGGTTGCCTGGCGCAATTACTATGGGAGACATGAAGTTGTGAATACAGCCGTCATGATACAAAGCAGTGAAGGGATTGCCACCACCCTAGACCCTATAAACTATAAACCCTAAACCCTAAACCCTACCAAACCTATGATCCCTCCTAGGGCTAGGAGGGTTGCCCTTGAGGCTTTCTCCCCACACTGTTTTCATGACCCCGACCAGTCCCCGACTCATAGCCCAGAGACTCCAATATCCCTTAATGAAGGAATATACCTTGAATTATAGTAGGATCCCCAATATGATTCAAGGAATATTCCTTCATTATGGGATTTAGGAAGGTCTGGGCATAGCAAGCCTCAACTTACCGACTGATCCTGGGCTTCAGGCTTTGTTTCCCTGAGGGTCCATGTACCCAAATGGGAGTTTCCGAAAATTCGGGGAACCTTATTTTTGGGTCCTTATAATAAGGATCCTACTATTTCGGGTCCTATATCAAGGTCCCCTATTTTCGGAAACTCCCAAAAAAAGCTATGGCCTTAACGTGGTCCCTAAAACGGTACTTTGGGGCCTAAGTATGTGCTATTTGGGTACATGGACCCTTCGGGTTTCGTGGTCTTAGGATTTCTCGGGGCGGGCTCTTCAGGACTACGCCGAGAAGCGTGAGTGGCAGGCCTGATATATCTTGAGGCTTTTCTGAACGGGCTTGCTTGGGTAGTATTATTAGGGGGACCCCTCAAAGGGAACCCCTTCTGAACCCTAAACCCTAAACCCTAAACACTAAACCCCTTCTGAACCCTACTTCTGGCTCTCTTAAAAGGGGCCTTATTGAGAGGGTCTATATCCCCAAGGGTCCCCCGTAATCCTAACTCCCAGGGCTCCTCTACTTTACTGCATTTTTCAGGGGTTCCTATAAGGATTTTATAGGCTAGGGTTTAGGGTTTAGGGTTTAGGGGTTTAGGGTTTAGGGTGTAGGGTTCCTATAAGGATTTTATAGGCTTCCTTTCAAAGGGCTCTGTAGATGGCAGGGGTCTGGTTAAGGTCCAGTTTTGTTGTTACGGGGTCTTTAGTGCTGCTGTTGTTTAGGGCTTAATTATACTAACTTAGCCGATTGGAGAACTTTAAACTTCTTGGCTGTACCTATTTGGCCTATCCTAAAAAGTTTGAACTGTTTTTGGGCGTGGTTATTGGAGGAGAGAGTATAGGGCTTTTGGGACCGCGCGTTACCGGTTTATCAGATTAGGGTTCAAGGTTTTACGTGTTTGGGTCTACTGTTTGGAGATTGGGCTTTGGGGTTCCCCCGTGGTATTAGAAGGGAAGGTTCCTCACCTCAGGACCGCACCCGCTTTTATCCTGAGCCGACAATCAAGCCCGGACCCTTTCATTGCCATGGCTAGGAGTTTTCGAAGGGCTCTAAGGCTGGGTTCTTGTTAAGGAATTGAATTTATAAGTTACCATAATAAGGAAACCCTATTATTTACTATAGATTCAGGTCATGGTAACTTACTTCTATAAAACGCTGTAGCAAGAACCCAGCAGAAAGATCCTGGAAGGATGCCTCTCAATGGTTCTCGAGCAGTTCTTCAAAGAGTCCCATAGCAAGAAAGGAACCCTGAACCCAAACCTGCGAGCTCTCAAACCCAGCCTGAACCCGCCCCAACAAAGAAGACTCTTTCCCGCACTCTCTCCAAACCCTAAGACACGCTAAACCCAAACCTGCGCCCTCAACAAAGCATGAAGCCTGCACCCTAACACCCTTAGCCTAACTTGCCAAACATCTAAAGCAGCCAAGCCTTGACGCTGGCAAACGCGAGAAAAAACCCTCAAACCATGCACAACTACGAAATCCTTCGCCAGGCGAAACGCAAGGCAGGCCGCAGCGCCGCCATCGAAAAGATCCGGTGCGGCCTTTGGCTTCACTTTGCGGAGGATTCAGGGCAGCATGGTTCCGGTTCTAGGAGATCAGGATTATTTGCATTGTACGGGCTTTTGTCTGCGTATCGGGTTCAAGGTATGCGATGTGGATTCGATAAGGGCTTCTGTAGGTTGAGACTGGCTTCAAATGGGGTGCCACTGCGCGACATGCGTTCAGCCGTTCAGAGGACTTCATCTGACACTGTCGGGATCGCGGTTTCCTGTGCTTTCCCAGGTCTGTCTAGATACGCTGTGGTTGCAGTATTTTTCGGGACATATGTGCACTCAGCAATGAAGCTGTCGCTGCCTGCGCTCTTGCTGCAGTACCATATTTTGGGGTCCTAACAACAAGGATCCTACTATATAGGGTGCTATATTAGGATCCCCTATATTCGGGAACTCTCTCCTGCAACCTTTGGGAGAGGAGACGCCCATTTCCAAGAGACGGGATCGGCCACCCAACAAGCCCGTGTCTGTCCTTAGGGGTGCTTAGAGAGATATATTTTACTTTGTGGTTATTATAATCCCTAAGACCCTAAGAAACAGCTAAAATTACAATTTTTGCTAGGGTTCTGAGTTCAGTATGTCGGTAGCGACACAACAGAAAGTGTTTGGCCCGGCGTAGCCCAACCCGAAGTCATCAACAGGGAGGAGCTGTCCCCAAAGAAGGCATCTACCAGTGAACCAAGTGAACCAAGATCAATGTGTTGGTTCACAGACTTCGTAAGTGCTTGCCTTCACAGCAGTTTCACAAGTTATCGATTTTGCAAAAGCTGCTGAAGCATGACTGGCTTGGGTACTCCTCCAATCAATCTCAGGTGAGATGGCAGTTGAATTCCAAACGGCACAAAGAGAAAGCTGCTACAGTTCTACGTTTGCGGAAGGTGCACGCCCATGTAAATGGCAGGCAGTCGATTGTGGCTTTCTCCTCTCTCCTAGCGATATTGCTTTCGAAGCCTCCGCGAGGACCCTCAACCCCAATCCCTAAACCCTACTCCTGACACCCTAACCCTAATCTCAAACTCGAAACCTTAAACTCCAAGTTGCATGCATACCGGAGGCAAGACCAGAAGGAAGAGAAGGAGCTGGAAGCTCTGAAGAAGGAGGCCGGGTCCTGGCACGGCCCGCATCCTTAAGCAGTAGAGTACCCCCTTTCTAGTCAAGCCAGGTCCCTCCTAATGTAAGTGTAGTATACTCTACCCCTATATACTTCCTGCTGTAAGTGTAGACATATAGTACTACTATACGGCGAAAAACGATCCTATGTATATTGCGGCCCCGCGATATTATACCCTTACGGAACCCTTTAAGGAATCCCTTTCAAGGTATACGGGAACCCTACTCTGCATATTAAATAAGGCTTCTATATCGGCTCTAGATCTTCCAATTCGATTCAATGCGTTTGGAATCTAAAGAACGAGGACCCTCCAAGGGCCCATGAATAGAGCCCTAATGGCCCTGAATGGTGGGTACTTGGGGAATGTTAGAGGGCAGTTGGGGGCTAGGAAGACTTCAACTTGGATTGGGGATCCCATTTCACTACCAGGGATATTCTGAATTACATACAGGAATAGTGGAAGCTGGGTGATCCGAGACATATTGAAAGCTTTGGAACCCTTGAGTCCACAGACTTAGAGAGCACCCTCAGCACTCCCTGGGAGACCCTTTAACGGGCTTTTGTATAGAAGCGTGCGTTGTGGTGGCCTGTGTTTCGCTCTGTGTTTTGGTGTTTTTCATGTTTAGAGGCTTGACCAGGAGTGCGAAGAGGGTGCTACGTAAGGGATGAGGGTCCACGTTATGAGGTTCCGGATGTTTATGTTAACCTTACAGTAGCTATATAAGATTCCCCGAATGGCCTAGGTGTGCCATATTAGTTGTCAATATTAAGGTCCCTTTTTGGGTACCCTAAATATTAGTTGACGTATTATAATACGTACCCAAAAAGGGACCATAGTTTTGACAACCACCCCATTTGAGGCCTTAATAGTAAAAAGCCCTAAACCCTAAACCCCTATAGATCCCTTATAGATCCCTTTAAAGGAACCCTTATAGTAAGCCTACATCTCCCCCGGGGCTGACATTTACATCCCAGGCTTGGTCTCCCGGTAGCAGGTATCCAAGGGTAACAGGAGGGACCCTTAAGAAGGACCCCGAGGTATATACCCTTAATATAGCTAAAAATATACCCATTATATAGCCCATTGTAGGGTAAGGGTCCCCCTTAAGGTTCCCTCCTTTTCCCCTTTGACAGGTAGCACCTTGATGCTTTTTAGGTTTGGGCTCCTTATCACACTGACATGTACCCCAATTATTAAGGGGTATACTGGGGAACCTGCCAAGACCTCACAGCCCCAAAACTCTGAACTCTTATCCCTGTATCCATGAGAACCAACACCCTATTGCCGTAGTATTATAAGGGGGACCTCTTAAAGGGTACCCCTTCTGAACCCTACTTCTGGCTCTCTTAAAAGGGGCCTTGTTCAGAGGGTCTATAAATCCTAACTCCCATATTGAGGCTTGAAATGCACCCCAGGGGCCTGGCCGATCCTGAAAGCACTACACACGAAAACCCTACGTGGTAGTTCTTGTATGAGCTACAGTCAGTATAGAGGATAGCACGACCTTATAAAGGAGTGGCACGGGACTATATCTATCTATCTGTAGACTATGTGCATATAATATATATATATATATATATATATATATATATATATATAGGTATATGCATACAGGGGTCATCATATTTTGCCCCTACTAGGGCATGACTAGGATGCTTTGGAAAGAGCCACCCTTTTGTTCTTCTGGCTTTGTTGGGAACTCGTAGTGACAGTAGCTTGTGGCATTTCTGAGGGGAAGGGGGCCTGATATAGAATCGAAGTGGTAGAATCCTTAATCTGGGTTCTGGAGTAGCCTATATAAATATGTTCTATGCTGATCTGTTCCTGAATGGAACAATCATGAACTGACAGTGTATGCCCCTGGTTACTGCAGAGCCCACTCATCGGCGACCCCCCAAACCCAAAACCTTAATCCCCTACAGAAGGTGCCCCAGAGGTTTAAGCAATGTGAGCTCCAACGGTTTCCTGAGCAGTGGCAGGATCCGGCTGCCTATGCTCAGCTCGTTAAGGCCCGACTCTTCGCGGCTTCGTGTTTTTGGAGTTTAGGGATTAAGCTCCAGAGGGTTTAAGGTTGATTTGGGTGCGAGGTTTCAGCTTCTACGGACGGCCGGCCCTAAACCGTAGGGTTAAGCGTTTATAGGGTTTAGGCCAGTTTAGGCTTTGGATGTCAGAGACTCCTTCCCAGAAAGTCTCACATGCAGGTCTCGTGGCCTAGGCTTGTAGACTTCAGTTCATCTTCAGGCATTCAGGCCACCTTTTGCTCCTAGGCCGGTCATAGATGGCGTCTTCTGTCTCGCAGCACATCATCTAAACCGTCGATGATTGCAAATTGCCAGTTCTCGGTTCGGGCATGTGCATCGCCATCACCAACACCATCCTCATCGTCATCGTCATCACCACCATAATTTTCATAATCATCGTGACTACCATTCCATCTTGGCCATCTGCTCGCATGTCTCTCGCTTGGCTTCAGCATCTGCTGCTCCGATCGTCGGTCACTGCAAGGAGTTGAGCAAGTTGTGTCGACAGATACGCAGTGAAGAGGTTGAGTTGCGGGTGTGGCCAGTGAAGGGATCATCAAGATTCTTGGAATTCCTGACGCAGCCTCGGTCCGAAGTCGCATAGATCGGTAGTAGCACCCCCGTCAACTTCAATTAATGAAGGGGCCTAAGGAATTACCTATACTATTTTTTGGGGGAGCTCCTCATTATGGTTATAGCAAAATATAACCCAAAAGCCAATTCTAATTTTTAAGGCCTCTACTTAGAGCCTCCGGCCCGAACACAACGTTTCTGCAAGTCCCTAAACCCGAATCCCTAAACCCTTCGGACCTTCGGAGAAAGGGTGCAGCTCAACTTAAAAAAAAACCTACAACCTCTAAACCCCAAACCCTGCAAACCCTAAACCCTATAAATGATGCGTGCGCCATGTTGCTAGGAACGCGAAGAAGCCAAGCGCAGCTTTGAGGCCGGCTACTTAGCAGAGAGCCTGTTGACTATGCTATGGTTTATGTCACGTACTATATGGGTGGTTGTCAAAATTGAGGTTGCTTTTTGGGTCCCTATTATAATACGGCACCTATTATTTAGGGTACCTAAAAGGGGACCGTAATTTTGACAACTGCCCATATTCCGTTATACTAGGTTACAATCTATTATGCTATCTTCGTTGTGATACGTTGTGCTACATACTGTTTTGTAGTGTGTAGGTTTAGGGGCTGAGGGGTTTAGGGTTTGGGGGTTAAGGGTTCAGAGTGCAGGGTTTAGAGTTTGTGGTGTGTCGCTGAGAGAAGTTGTTTCCAGATGCTGTATCGGTTCCTAGGTGAACAAGCAAGCAAAGCAACAACCCTAACTCTACAAGCCCTCAACCAGAAAACCCTAAACAAGAACCTGCTGGAATCCTAGAACAGCACCCACCCAAAATTTGTCTGGTGTCCGACGGTCGTAAACCCCAAAACCTCTTCTGAAAATTCGTAAACCCAGAGCCTCATGGCACTCTACAGCCCTTTTAGCCCTATAATATTGTGCAAATCTCGGTAAACACTACATGAGCCCAGAAGAATTTCGATAAAGTCCCTAAACCCTAAACCCTAAACCCTAAAACCCTAAACCCTAAATCCTGAACAAGAAGTCCCCGAGCCCTGCAATGCCTGTATGTTCGATGCTAGGAACTGAAGAAGCGCAAGCGGCTCATGGCTGCTGCTGAGGCAAGCTCCTTAGAGGTTTTGGCTTTATATGGTCTTCCATTTAGCTCTGGTCTACCGTTAACTTTGAGTTTTTCTGGCGGTCTTTATACCCAAAACCTGAAGCTCTATAGCCCAGGCCTAAACCCTAAACTCCCGCGTAGACGGTGTTGCTAGCTTCTCTTTGCGCGTTTGCCTGGGGCGGCTCCCGGGATGCCTGCTACTGGGATCTGGAGTGCCATACTTGAATACTTATGGTTTAAGGGCCCAGACCTTCCAAAACCCCTTAATTAAGGAATATACCTTAAATTATAATAGGATCCCAAATGTGATTTAAGGAATATTCCTTAATTAAGGGATATTGGAGTCTCTGGGAATACCTATGGTTTAAGGGCTTACCCATAGGTTCCATAGAAGCTCCTTTTTGGGATTACCTTATAGGATCCTAAATATGGTCGACACAAAGGGACTACAATGGAGGCTATGGGTAGGGGTTTAGGGGTTACTTAACGCAGCCATGAATGAAATACAGATCTACGTTTTTGTTTCCTGGTTGCTTCCGACGACTGAAGGGGCCGTGCGGTGGTTAGTATAGGAGCCCCGCGTTTCCTCATTTTACGTGTAGTACAATATACCCCAAAACACAATTCCAATTATGATGGCCTCTCGAACCAGGAATGAGGCTACCGCGGGGGTACACTTCCTGCGTGGTTGCACTTAGTTGGAGTACCTCTCGGATTAATTTGTTGTCATGTATTGGGCACTTCCTCTCTGATAGCTGATCGCAGAATCTACGTTTTTCCTGCATGCGCTGCTTGCATTGGATGCATTTCACAACAGAACATAGCACGTCGTCCCTCACTTGGAGGGTCGGGGGACTTAGTAAGTAGGTAGTCAGTAGACTTATAAGTACCCTAAAAGAGACCCTAATTGGGGTTATGGTACTTATAAGTCCCTAAGATAGCCAGTTACTAAGTCCCCCGACCCTCCAAGCAAGCAGCCAATACTTAGGGTTTCCAGTGCCGAGCTGCTACTCGGATGTTCCTTTGTGCCTGGACTCCAAAAGTCTGTAGAACATAGCCTTTTATAGGCTTCGTGCCATTATTTTACCGTTATTTTAGCTACTCTGGGGGGGTCTAGGTGGAGTTGGATGGTGATGTTTGCTATTGTGGTCTGGGACGCGAGAGAGTAGAACGGCTCCGACACACTGGAGGCCTTTGCATCTGAACTTATTACTAGCTAGACTATAGACACCCTCCTCCCACCAAGGAATTCAGCATGCATCCTCGCAGCTTCCAAAGAATCTAGACCTACAGTGGACCCTGCAGAAAACCTGGGATCCCTTTCCCGGTTCCTGTCCCTGGGGCTCCAAGTATGCAACCAGCGCCCACATTAGGGTGCAGGGTCTAGGGTTTTAGGTTTAGGGTTCAGGGTTTAGGGGTTTAGGGTTTAGGGTCTACCAAGAGTACTGAGATCCAGCGAACCCGATACCATTAGCTCGGGAGCATAGGCCAGATACGGTAGAAAGCCTTTTGTCACGAACAGCTCATAAACACTGCGCCGTGGTAAAAAGTTGTGAATATTATGGCATAGCCCGTTGATAATCAACAGGGGCCCTGCCCTCAATCAAGATTAACTAGGATCTTAATACTTGTTATGGTCTGTCAAAGAAATGGGTTACAGAAAAATTGAAAACTGCTTGAGCCTCGTTAAAACTATTGAAGCCCTCGCGGAACACTACACAACCTGACCAGACTCTGCAAATCGCTCCAAAAAAGCCCAGTTTTCTGGAAGGGCCTAACAGAAGCATGTTTTTTGCTCTTCGAAAGCCTAGGGTTAGCCTTCCCCAACAGGCTCATGTACCGATGTAGTGTATGCTTTCCCTGCTCAACATACCTATAGGACACCCATGTAAACACCAAAACCGCAAAATCGAAACCGGCCTGAGGAATAGACTTCATATTGGGACATGGGCTCTTGGGACCCATAGGGTTTGTTTGCGAAGGAGCGCGAGCGCCGACAGAAGATGGGGACCCCGGATTCTGAGGCGTCGGCTTAGGGGTCGAGGCTTGAGGTTTACATAGGGGTTGTTGTTTACTCTGCAGGGCTTATGTACCCGACATGAGCATGAAGCGCACTTAAGGGAAGACTACTGTTTAAATTTCAGATACTAAAACATATTACGTAGAATAGCAGCCTGAAGCTGTGGTTTATGGTTGGGGCTGATTTTTTGTTTGGGGATTCAGGTGAAGGCCCAGATGGTGTGGGGTTCAGGGCTTGCAGGGTTCCTTACTAGTAGTTCTAGGACATGCGCTTGCGGGTAATCATAGTATGACTCTATGAAGGGAGCCGTAAGGGAGTATGACTAACAACTACTCACAACCTTTCCAGACTATTATATATATATATATATCACGGAATGCTAAAGAGCACTGTTTCAGTGATTAGGACCCTAAACCCTAATTCCACCGGCCCTCCCCTTATTATTCGACTCCACACCATGAACTTCGAATGAGCCCCCCGCAGGAGGAGAGCGAGGAGGACGCAAAGAAGCGAAAGAGGAGTTCTTGAGGGTTTAGGGTTTAAGAGTGTAGGGAACTCTTGGCGTAGATCCTCTTCTTACGCAGGTGCATTTCAGTGCTCTAGGGTTTTGGGTTTAGGACTCATCTTATCAAGGTTCCTTAGGCCTCAAATGTATTTACTAGAAAGCTACATGGAGCCTTGACGTAAGGGGGTACCTAGACGACGGGGCTTCTCCCACGATTCCAAGAGCCTGTTTATCAAGCATCAGTAGAATCGGGCATTGCTGGAGTATACCCTAAACCCTGATAGTGTAGTATACCCTAAACTATAAATCCTAAACGATTTGTATCATGAACCCTAAAGAATCCGTAGCAGTTGATGATCTTCGTTCTTGTTCAACCACTCACCTAAGAACAAATCTTCAAGAATCTACCGGGCCACATATATATATATATATATATATATATATGGGTGGTTGTCAAAATTAGGGTCCCCTTTTGGGTCCTAATTATAATACGGCACCTAATGTTTAGGGTATCCAAAAAAGAGACCATAATGTTGACAACCATCCAATATGGAACTGCAGTTTGAAGTGGGCCAGCCCAGAAAGGAGTCGCGATGGATTAGCCTGGAGTTCAGCCCTAAACCCTAAACCCTAAACCCTAAACCCTAAACCCTAAAGGCTCCTAAAGTAATGCTTCAGATTTGAGGTTTAGGATTTACCCAGAGGCCCCAAAGTAGTTCCTTTTGGGGATTACCTTATAGGATTCTATATACGAACCCCCAAAAAGCTAAGGAACTACTTTGGGGCCTTTGGGTAGGGGTATGGGGTTTAGGATGTACGTAATTCGGGTTTTGTAGTCTTTGCTATTTTGTAGGTGTCTTTGGGTCATGAGTGTGGAGTCGGGGTCTCCATGTTGGTTGGTGTGTTTCTGCATTCTCATCCCCTTTCAAGGAAGGGAACTTGGGTTCACAACATGCCCATGATGTATGGGCCTTGATCATTCGAACAGGATGCCGGGACGTCTGAATCCCCAAACCCTCCGTGTGGTCTGCCCTGGAGCTCCTTCTTGAGCTCCACGGGCCTTTGCATGGCGGGGCATGCTTGTCTAGGGTTTCGGGGTTTGGGGTTCAGGGGTCTAGGAGTTATATATAGGGTTTAGGGATTTAGGGTTTAGGGCAGACAGCAAGGGTCCAAAGCACCGAAACTGAGGCTTCCGAATTTGTAGGTCATAGCATTTCTGGGCGTATATGATGACTAGGCACCCTAAACCTTAAACCCGAGACCCTAAGCCGGGCCCCCTTTCGCCTTGGCAGGATAGAAGAGAGGATGGAAATTTTGCGGGAAGCGAAGAAGAAGGAACGAGGCCATTCCTTTCATACCAGGGTTTTCGGGGTACTATTATGGGCATAATGGGTATCATAGGCGGTTTTGGGGTTGGGGTTTTAGGGTTTTGGGGGTTTGGGGTTTTACATTAGGGAGCAGAAGGTTACACCAAACTTCTGGAAAATCTCTGTTAAAGACTTCAAGTTTACGGGGCTGGAGGTCTTAAGTCTCCCCAAGGCTCGAAGGTTCGAAGTATGAGCCCCTAACATGGACCCTTAGGCCTTTTTGAGGGCGTTCTAGGGACCCTTAAGAGTCTATATAGGGTCTAGAGTAGGTTTCAACCCTTGACTTCGGAATGAAGGCTTGGGCGTGATTTAGAATTGAGGGGGGTAGGATTGAAGGCCTTATGGTTTAGGGTTTAGGGGCTAAGGGTTTAGGGTTTAGGGTATGGTTTAGGGGTTAAGGGGTTTTAGGGGTTTAGTAGCAGAGGTGTATATGGTATGGGAATTTTATGAGTGCGGGGCGACTTGCCGGGACCACCAAGCCAAAGCAATACCGTATGCGTCCTGGGGTCAGGGCTTAGGGTGTAGATACTATATAGGTTTTGTTCATCAAGGGCCTAAGGGCCTATCAACTGTAGGATATAGCAGTATAGCGCGAAGGGAAGCAAAGTGTGTGAGGTTAAGTACGGTTTGGGCCACATCTGAAATTTTCTGGGGCAGAGGACCAACAGCATTTTGGTAGACATCCAGCTGGTGCATCAGCATTGCAAAGTCGTCAAGAAGTAGCAACTTGGACTCTAGGGTCGGATCGTACGCCGCCATATCTGGTGGCCGGTGGAGCTCTGGCAGTGGAGGCTACTGGGGCTCTGGCTCAGGCTCAGGTGGCGGATGGGGACCCAGCAGGTCTGGCAACTCAGCTCATCCAGCGGCAGCGGGTCCGGTGGTGGATCTGGCTCGGGATCCGGATGGCGTGGCAACAGCCAATGGGACGGCTTGACAAGTAAGCAGAAACAAAACAAGAGGAAGAACAACACCGCCTGTGGAGAAGCGAGCAATGACGTTCGCTGGGCCTTGAACCGACGCCTCCACGACGAGAAGGCCAAGACTGAGCGTCTCAGTCGTCAGATTGAGGAGATGGTATGCTGTGCTACCCTAGGGATCAAAATAGCCCACAAGCCTGATATAGTATGGTCTTTGGGCCCAAAGCCTTAATATATGAGTCCTTAGATCCCTAGGGCTATAAGGGCGACGTGCTCTTTCGTGGCCTGCCGGATGGGCCGGGAGCAAGATGGATTTACTAGGACCCAGAGTAAGCCCTCCTTCCCCTTTTTAGGGTTCAGGTTCCCTTATGACACCCTTTTAACCCAAAAAGGGCATCCTTTTTGTTCCTAGTGTGCAAGATTACTCTTAGGTCTAGTTGAGGTTTAGGGTGTAGCGGCCAAAAACCCCCTTAATCCCGAAAATACCGCACCCCCTTCAAAAGCCTTTGGCTAAAGTTTTGGAAGGGTTCGTTGAAGTAAGAAGCGCCAGCAACAAACTTGTGCACCTATCTCCCATGATCTTAGTGGCTCAGTGGATACACTTTACACTTTTTGGGATAATGATACCTACTGTAAAACTGAAAGTGTACACCTTTGGGGGGCTTATGAACTCAGCAACTAGGTGATTATGAAGACAGTTAGCCTTGAGGTTGCTCCCTTGGGGAGATATTAGACCCCCCGAGTGTCCAGGAACCCACCCAGCAGCCCCAAGTACTAGTAGAAGTCGTCGTCGTCGTCGTGGTAGTGGTAGTGGCAGTAGTAGTAGTCGTCGTGGTGGTGGTGTAGTGCTACTCACAAGTAGCAAGTAGCAGTAGCAGCTGGCCGTGGATTTTACGTGTCGTATGGCAACCCTTCCTTGCATGCGGACAGGTGGCTTCTCAAAGTTAGGCTTCGGTTTTGCAGTTCTAGGGTCACGCTTCTCTTGGAGACCCCACCAGGGACCCTGACTTGTAGACCAGGGACCCTTACTTGTAGAAATCGCCATGTTGAACCATCGATGCCTAAACCCGAGTCTCCGAAGTCTGTTTGCCCCTGCTGCAGTGAATTGGCTGCCCTACGCGCTCGGCGGCCTTTTTGCTCCGCGCCTGCAACCGGCACTAGTAAACCAAGAAACCTCATGTATGACGCATCTTCATTGCCAATTCTATATAAGCCTGTATGATACCCGATGAAGGTTCAAGTAATCATGTAATATAATGTAAGTACGCAATGTCAGTATGCAATGTATAAGTATGTAACGTAAGTATGTAGTGTAAGTATGTAATTCAACGTAAGTACGTAATGTAGTACCCGGCCGGTTGGGAGTTGCTGTCTCTTGCTTGGCTTCAATGGCTTCGGATTCGGGTTGCAGTACTTCCTAGACTTGTAGCAGTTGAATTAAGAGCACCTAGATCTGAACTCCTAAGATCGCGGAAAGTAGAGCCTCTATGGGGCTCTGCCCGAGACTCGCCGGCACATGAAGTTCTTGTATGATCTCCGGTGATATCGAGGCCATAACACATAGTTCTATTACTGAGGTGCGGCACCCCAAACCCTATTTCACAGGCCTATATTGTAGGCCCCCTTCACTAAAATCCTTAGCTCTCCACGGCGAAACCGGCCACTTTTCGGGCTCAGGCCCAACTCCAGAAAGCATTCATCTCTCGACCATCGCTTAGTTGATGTTAAGGCCAAGCTGCATTCGGCTTTTTGGGGCTTAGGGTTCAGGAGCCGAACCTCCAGTTCCAAACCGGTCTGGGGGTTTACAACCCCGTCTAAAACCCCTAATAGGGTTTAGGGTTTAGGGTTTAGGGTTGCCTAAACTTCAAAACCGTCAGGGTTTAGGCTGCAGAAGAGAAGTGCAGGTTGCGTACATCTTTTTCAACGTCCTGAATGTCTTCGGCAGCGGCCCGGGGCTTGTCCTGCGGCATAAGGGTGTTTAAGTGTAGTGCTCGAAATTCGGGTCCGTTTTAGAAGGGTGCTGTGCTATGTTAGAGATCTGAAAAGGGACCCTAATTTAGAGAACTTCACCGTTAGGGTGTGAGAGTTGAAGGGTGTGGTCACTAAACCCTAAGCCCACGGGACAGGATAATGTGACCATTAGTGATTGTATAATTACTTATCTTGCAATCTGTCCCAACTCCTCTTCTATTCTAAGGGCGCAAAGTAGTTCCTTTTGGGGGTTCATAAGAACCTTATGAGCCTTATGAAGTACTCTTCTATTCTAAGGGCGCAAAGTAGTTCCTGTTTGGGGTTCATATTTAGAACCTTATGAGCCTTTTGAAGTAATCCCAAAAAGGAACTACTATGGGGCCTCTGGGTAGATGCTGAGGCCCCGATATTAGCCATGCTAGTTGTATTTGTGCTAGGGCTGAGGACTTCGGAGGGCTTTGAGATCCATTCGTAGCACCCGTCGGCTTCGGGTCAGTAGCAGTTACCCTTTCCTGTAGACTGCCCATAGGCTTCACAAGGCATCGTTGTAACTCCTATAGGTAGAATCCCGTAAATCTTGAATCTCCTTCTTACTTGTTCCCAGATCCTCCAAAAGCAGGACGGAGGGCTCAAGCCTGCAAAGTCCCGAGTTTTCCTAAACCCGAAACCCCGGAATGTAGGGTCCGAGGTTTAGGTGGTGTACGGGTTTAAGCTGTAGCGGCTTTGGAGTTTAGGGTTCTGGGCTAAAGTTGTGTATGGGTGTGGGATTTCGCATGATTTAGCTACCCTAAAACGCTATGCCCGAAACTCTATACCCTACCTGTATCCCCAAACCCTACAACAAATAGTAGGTTATGACCCCTTATTTATAGGGTGTAGCCCTCAAAACGGTAGGTTTTCGGATCCACAGGTCCACCCTACAGGGTTAAGGCAATGCAGCAGAACAGCAACCAAGCTTGCCTCTACACCGATTAGCTTGGGCTCCTCTAATATAGGGGCCTTAGTAATTAGAAGAGGGTACCTTATAAGGGCTATTTTAAGGATTTAGTATAGGGGGCCTCAATAATTACCTATGCTATTTTGGGGGCTCCTTATCACAAATATAGTATAACACCCCAAACAACCCCATAATTGTTAATATTACGTGCCTAATTCTGATCATCTCGGATCATACCTGAGTTTTGCAAAGTACAAACCCGACGCAGAAACCCGTAAGAAAGCCGCCCGTCCACTTGGCGTGCTTAGGATTCGGCTTCAGCTTCGAGCGTCAGAAATATGGGAGTTGAGTCATGTAACGGCTCCAAATAACAGGAGGTTGATTGTGGTCTTATGGTTTGGGGTCTAGCGTGCAGGGTTCAGGGAAGTTCAGGGATTATCAGTACCCTAGAAACTGACGCCTGATTCCAGGATAGATTATGCTTTAAACTTTATATTGTCATCCCGACCATGAACCGTCACGATGCCGACCCGCGACCCAGAAGTTCTAGAGGACCAAAGTTCTACAACAGCCGAAACGATCGAACTGCTAGGCTTCTGATCATGGATATCGGTATCTGGCAAAGTTAGATGCCAACTTCCTTGGACTCTTCGGTTGGGGTCGGGGGCAACTGCAAGAGACGCGGCCACATTCATCATCCATGGATGCAGGGGACACATCCAAGAAGGATGATGATGACGACAAGGATGATTAGTGAGCCGGTCTCTCAACAGCTAGGTGGCAATTCGGGAAACTTTTTAATTTCCCTTATGGTTCCTATAGAGGTATTCATAAATACTGTGCAGAGCCCCAAAACTACAACCCAGACAGACATGCCCAAATTAGCAATCTTCAATACTCTCCAGCCCTTAAGCCTAAGCTGGTGGGTGTGCCAGCCGCCCGGAAACCTTAATCCGAAACCCTACACCCAACACACAAACAAACACACACACACACACACAAACAAAAATCGCTAAACACCTAAGCCCTATAAACCCCTGGCCCCTTAATTCTACTCTGACGAGGGGGTGGAGTGGGGATTTTGGTTGAACCCTCGTGAAGGTTATCTGTTGGCTGCAAGAGCTTTGTCTTAAGGTCTGGGCTGTCGGTGTCTGGTCTCGGCTTACCTGGACCCATGCAGATGTCAATACGCGCATTCCATGTCGCTATTGTAGAAGCCTAAATACATACCAAATACTCTTTCTCTACGGAGGGTTCCTGATTTTATTTATACTAGCCCAAACCCTTGTTTCAACTGTTAAGGCCCCTTCAAACAAACAGGGACCCCGAGAAGAAGGATCCTTGCCCAGGGCTGCCGTTACTACAGAATCCTCAGGTAGTAGGACTATTCCTGAGGGTTCCTCGCTATAACCAATATTATCAGATACCCAAAACCATTTTCGAGTTGTCAAGTTTAAGACGATTTCGGTGTTCCTTGTTATAATTGTAGCGTAGTACAATATACACCAAAACCTTGTGTTAGCTATCAAGATCCCTTATAGTACTCAGCAGGCAATTGCATCAAGCAGGGCACTGTGTTGAGAAACCACGGTTTTCAGCTTGACAGACCCGCCCCTTCCATGCTGCGCGGCTGCAAGGGTGCGAAAAACAGGTGCTGTCGGGATGCAATGTCTAGAGCCTTGGGTTCGACCGAACTGGCCCGAGAGGCGTTGCGGCCGTTGCGGTGCGGTGGTTTCCATGGAGCTATTTCTACATTCTGTTTCGGCTTCTGCCTCATAATAACTGAATTACTTTATCCACATTATGTTGGAGGATGCACTGAATCTGCCTGCAATTGCAGATTCAGTCTAGGACTCCTAGTAGTTTCAACTACAGTAGTTATTTGGACATGCAAAAGATTGTGGGGGTCATCTATCTGTTATCTGTTTCGAACGGGTGTTCATACTTCGGATGTTTGTCGCTGTTTTACGGATTGATGCGAGCTGTTTCTGATGTTGTGAACTGACCTCATGCCTCGTTATTTGTCGTCTTTAGGCGTCTTGCTGTGTCCTACGTTCCGCTATGCATCGTTAGCCGTCATGACCTCGAGGAGTTGATGCTCGATGAGCTTTGAATGATCAACTATTTCATGTTATTTCGTTACAGATAGCCATCATGTCCATCTCAAAATTGCCGACATCGGTCTTGTGCCGTTTGCTTTCGGCTATGAACTGATATTGTCTGAGGCACACGATGAGAGCACAAGGACACACAGGCCTAACAGCCCTTCTCGGGTGCCTTAAAGAGGGGAGGGCTTTGCAGTGACATCCGTCCGGTTCTTATCGGCTCCTGGCACAGCTGCGTGCAATAGCATGGGAGCCATCACCTAAAGCCGGTAGCCCCCCAACACGACACAGCCGTAGGCCTCAGCAGTTCTTGCCAAGGGCCGGACCTTGCAATCAGAGCCTAGAGCGCTTGACACCTACATCCCTGGCGAGCCCGACGAAAGACTGAAGGGACCGATAGCCCGGAAGCCAAGCAGCCACGACCCTGACACCCTGCGTCAGGAGCCTAGAGAATTGCCAACACTGTAGGTTCCTATTGCAATCCTTAATACGGTGTTCAGGCTCCTGTACTAAACATAAAAAAACCCTGATCGAACCCTTCTACAGTAGAAGCCTGCATTACACCGAGTCGCAACTCTAGACCTGCTCCCAGCCTACTGTATGTTTGTATACGACATGTAAGGCTCCCACACCAAACATGTAGAACCCTTACGGAACCCTTAGACCTGCCCCCAGCCTACCAGCAAGTGTGGAGCATGACGGAAGTTGATGAAGGCACACTAGGGGAGCACAGAGAGTCGTGCGGTTTTCGGGTTTGGGACTTTAGGGCTTAGGGCTTCAGGGTTTGGGGCTTTAGGGTTTGGGGCTTTAGGCATTATGGCTCAGGGTTAGGGGCTGTATCTCATGGTGACTATAGGGGTTTCAGGCTTTGAGGATGAATCCCGTTGTTCATTTCCGCCGGCAAGAAGAGCCTTGGAAACCCACCGACCGCAGTTGTTTTCATGTTTTTTGTCGGGGCCCTTATGGTTACGGTATGTTACGGTTTCTTTCGGGGAAATTGCATCTTTCATTGGGGTAGCTACCCTGTTTATTCCGTGTCGGGAAATCATGGATTTGGCACGCTGTTTTCGTGTGTTTTGGTATTCCCTAAACGAGGTTTTTTTTTGGGATTTAGGGTTTAGGTTTTAGGGTTTAGGACTTACAACCCCTAAACCCCGGCACCCTAAACCCCGAAAAAAACCCTAAAAGCTTTAAGACACGCCTAAACCTTGGGTACGGCCCCCACTCAGTCATACTTGAAGAATACTCATAGTATAGATGTATTAGGACATAAATAGTAGCCCTATTATAGACTCTTACTGTATGGGGGGGGGGGGGGGGCAGTACCCAGCCTCAACCTCACAGACGCACATATCCCCGCAACTCAGGCGTCCCCACTCGTAACGCGCATAAAACCACCAGCCGACATGAACTCAATCTTGGTTATTGTACTATAGTCGCCTTAAGAATTATTTTTCCTTTTTTGTTCATATAAAACCCCAAGAGAATACTGAAACTATTATTGTTAAGTTATTATTATGGTTCTAAGGGGTATAGTGTAGGAGGTTTGGGGTTTTAGGGTTCATGGATTTAGGTTAGGGCGCCTAGGGGTTAAGGCGTTAAGGGTTAGGAGTCGTGAAGCTTGAAGAAAATAGGAGGGGTTGCACGGTACTGAATTTGTGTTTCCTTAGCTTCACAACAGCTTTGCACGATCGGCCTCATTCTCCTCGAATGCACCATCACCTAACCATGTGGGAGTTTCCGAAAAAGGGGGGGTACCTTGTTTTGGGGTCCTTTGTTAAGGATCTCACTATTTAGGGTACTTATTAGGGTCCCCTAGTTTCGGAAACCCCCATGTACCCCGACGACCACCAAGCAGGATCCCCGAAGATCTAAGCCCCACGTCCCCAAGCCCAAGGCACATGTTTTCCCAGAGTCTTTTTCGGAGTCCTTTATGCGAAACACCCCAACACCTAAACCATTCCAAACGGCCCTAAACCCAAACCCCTCACCAACAAAAATGCTGCCTGCCATGAAGCCCTAACCCTGAAGGGATCCTCAAGCAGCCCCCTTGATGTAAAGAAATCGTAGAACCTCCATACCTTGCCACCAGGTGCTCCTGCAGTTTGAGGCCCAGGAACTTCGACGCCCCTGCTTTGCTTAAGATTTGGTTTCAGAGAAGTTCGAATTCGGCTTTCGGGAGTTGGGTTCAGTTTTGTCGGAATTCTTGTGGGCTTGGGCTTCGGGCTTGACTAGGGTAGTTATGGAGTTCATGAACAGGGGAGTAGGAGGTCTAGGATTTGACATTGGAGGCCTTCGTCTTTCATCCGGATCTTGTCCGAAATTGCTTGAAATCTTTTCGTTGGCGAATATCGTATAGGATTCCTTACAGGGTTTAGGCTCTGATTCCTAAACCCCAAACCCTAATCGGGCTTAGGGGTTTAGTGTACCTGTTCCTGAAAGGAGCCATGACGAATGGATAGAATAGAACGTTTCTGCAGTTTTTCTCGTTGCTGCGTCAAAGCCCAGGTTATAGATCCTAAGTCCGAAATCTACAAATCCGTCCGGGTTTAGGGTTTACCCTAAGGCCCCAAAGTAGTTCCTTTTTGGGATTACCTTATAGGATTCTATCTACGAACCCCAAAAAGGAACTACTTTGGGGCCTTTGGGTAGGGTTTAGGGTTTAGAGCGCTTGTGTCCTGGAGCAGTACGGGAGTCTACTTGGCTTGGCTTCGCCGGGCTTTGCTTACGAATTCTTTTTGTCAAAGGGGAAAAGGAGGGACCCTTAGTGGGGACCCCTACCCTGTAATGGGCTATATAATGGGTATATAATGGCTATATTAAGGGTATAATACCTAGGGGTCCTTAGTAAGGGTCCCTCCTTTTACCCTTGGAGTGATGACTGACGAAAATGAATACAAACTCAGGCGGGGATGAGCATGTCCTGGGTTTCCGGCTTGTGCATTTTTTTACTATGGAAGCCCCGACATCATAGTCCCTAGTTTGGTTTGATGATTTTGTCATTTGTCTTCCAATGTAAACCCCAAAGCGTACACACTCGACCCTAAATGACGATGTAGGGTCAGTTGCAATGGCCTGCACCCTGCAGCCGCACCTCAAATACGAAGCTCGAAGAGCTAAAGCATGCTGAAGCTATTTGGGGGGTTCGACTTCTGATATTCTACCATGAAGAAACCACAGTGTACCGACCTTCGCAATGGGGCTCCTCATACTCTCCAAAGCTGAGTGTGTTTGATCTAAACAACTCTGCAAGTAAGGCGGCAGCGGCGGAAACCGCAAATGGCTCCGCGGGCGTCAAGCGCCGGACGTCCCAGAAAAGTGACATGCGCACGCAGACTTTAGAGATACTCGTTGCAGGAAATCCCATGGCTCTGCATACTGTCTGTTGTCCCTAAGGCAATAAAGTAAATCCCTAACCTGAAGCCAGGATGTTGCCACGAATAGCAGATGAAACCGAACCCACCGTTTCTTTTCCTGCCTGCTCTTATCGACATAGAGCGGCGTTTGGAGTCTTATGCGGTTCTTAAGTCTGGCTTCATGGTATTGAGTTTTGTTTTATGGTTTTGGTTTTTGGGTGTAAGGGTAGGGGTTCGGATTCGGATATTGAAAAGGCCAGTCTTTAGAACAACTGGTACCCCGGACATCTTGA